TAAAGGGATAGTCATGGTCGGTAACAATACTCAGGTAAGCTGTGGCATTGACATCAATTGGTACTAATGGGCCCAAAGTGTGCCAAGAAAATATCCCCAACACTATTACACCACCACCAGCAGCCTGAATTGTTGATACAAGGCAGGATGAATCCATGCTTTCATGATGTTGATGCCAAATTCTGACATTACCATTCGAATGTCGCAGCAGAAATTGAGATCAGTCAAAGTTTTTCAATTTTGGTGAGTCTGACTCTGTGCGAATTGTAGCCTCAGTTTTTTGTGCAGGAGTGGCACCCAGTGTGGTCTTCTGCTGCTGTAGCCCATCCGCCTGAAGGTTTGACGTGTTGTGTGTTTAGAGATGCTCTTCTACATACTGTTGGACAAAAACTGAAATGTTCAGTTAATATCACATTTAAGCAATACAAATACAATTGATTAATAAAGAGAAAAAGAGGCAAAAATATGTTTAAAAAAATTCCATTGTAATAATTCCTTTCTCCTAACAATAACTTGTAACGAGTGGTTATTTGAGTTACTGTTGCCTTTCTATCAGCTTGAACCAGTCTGGCCATTGTTCACTGCATTACCTATGGCATTAACAAGGCATTTGCACCAACAGAACTGCCGCTCACTGGATATTTTCTCTATTTCGCGCTATTCTCAGTAAACCCTGATGGTTGTGCATGAAAATCCCAGTAGACCAGCAGTTTCTGAAATACTCAGACTAGCCCGTCTGGCACCAACAAGCCATGTTCAAAGTCACTTAAACCTCCTTTCCTCCCCATTCTGATGCTCGATTTGAACTGCAGCAGATCGGCTTGACCATGTCTACATGCCTAAATGCATTGAGCTGCTGCCATGTGAATAAAAATGTGCGTTAACAAGCAGTTGGACAGGTGTACCTAATAAAGTGGCCGGTGAGTGTATGATATCATGATATACAGTTTCATGGCGAACAGGATAAGTTTTGAATACATGAAATGTCTGACAGAAGTGAGTATATAAAAGCCTTTCTTAAGTGCTGATAGCTTGACCCAGTGCTTTCTTGAAACTGAGCTTTAACTGAACATATTTACCTTGAATGTGGTGAATCTCAACAAGATAACAGAGTGTTAAACGGCCATATGTGAAGGTATTGATGTTCATATTTGTGTTTGTTGATAAGACGTGTGTGGAAAGCAGGCCACCGGCTATACTGTAACAAACTCTCTCAGATTCCACGTTTCTGATATCTTCATCACTCAGAATATGCATATTCATATTCTCTTGAAATTTGTTGACCTAATTACTCAAAATTAGCCAAAAAGTGTAATCAAAATGCAAATTGAAACCTTTTAAAATGCTGTGGAGGAAATGGTACCGTTTAAAAGTGCTTTAGTTTAAATGTTTACACAAACATAAAGAAATAGTTGAAAACCTGTAACCAATGACGTCCATAGTAGAAAAAAAAACAAATAGTCTACTATGGAAGTCAATGGTTACAGGTTTCCAGCTGTCTTTAGATTTTTTGTGTTCAACAAAAGGACGTTAAACCCGTTTTGATCATAAGCGAAAGGTTTTTAATATGAAAATAATTTTTTTTATATGACCTACAGTACTCAACAATTGTGCTATTGGTTTCTGGGAGCCTTACAAGTGTCAAGGTAAACCTGATATAAGGTTTTTTTTTTAGAATTGGAAATGTCATTGATTTAATATTCTCCAAGGAACCTTTTTACTGGGAGCATGATGGCACAATAGGTAGTGTAGTGGTTTTTGGTTTTTCTCTTAATGAATCAAACTTAGTCTGGAGGTTATAAATATCAGAAGAATATACTTTATTGTCGACAACAAAGGAGAATTTTCAGGAGACCCCCAGTAGCATCTCTGTCTGAAAAATTCTGTCTCACTGATGTTCTGGCCTGCTTAAATACTCTTTTGCAACTGTTTTTTCCCTTTGTTTTACATTTGTCACACAAGATCCCACGTAGGTTAACCCCTGACCCCAAATTCCACCTAGGTTAACCCCTGACCTCAATTTCCACCTAGGTTAACCCCTGACCCAAACCTGGTAACTATATAACTTATCCATTTCTTGTGATATGGTAATTCTTCTAATGGTATGCAAGTCTACAAACAGATTATATACATACAATTTGAATATATAGATTAACTTCACACTTTAAAGAATATAAAATCCATTTTAGTAGCACAATTGCGTGGGTTTCCTCCGGGCTCGCCGGTTTCCCCCACAAGTCCAATAACATGGTGTAGGTGAATTGAATAAGCTAAATTGTCCGTGGTGTATGAGTGTGTGAAGAGTGTGTATGGATGTTTCCCAGTGATGGGTTGCAGCTGGAAAGACATTCGCTACGTAAAACATATGCTGGACAAGTTGTCGGTTCATTCCGCTGTGGCGACCCCGGATTAATAAATAGACTAAGCCGAAAAGAAAATTAATGAATGAATGATACCTTTTTTTTCAGGAATACCTCACACCTCATGCACATATATTTGCACAGTGAATTAAGCGAAAGATTTTAGAGTGCGCTAATGGGAAAGAGCTTAATGATATCGCTGGAGTGTTTGTGACCAGGCAGTGAAGTGTGACTTATGGACTTGACAGGTAGCTGCTTGGCCCTTTAAATCAAAGCAGCAAGTGCTTATTTGAACCACTTTAAGTGCGCATAAATCTGTGCGTTAGGATGTAAGCCCAGATGTCAAGATGGAGGATGTAGAGGGAGATGACTGACTTCTGCCTTGATCTGATCTGATTCTGAAGTTCATATTTAAATAATTCAGGCTGTGATGTTTGATTCATGTCACTGGCATAGATTATGACCTTTGACCTTTTCTCATAAATTTCTCCTTTTAATTTTGCTTTTATTTATAAAGACTAACATTCAAAAAAAGCTGAAACAAGGGACAATTATTAACTTGCCTAATTTATTGTTAAAATCAGCATACTGTACTGTAGCCTAATGAAGGTTTTTAGATCAAAACAGTTGGTTTTAAAAAAATAAACAGAAGCTGTTGACTGTTTATTAGTGTTTGGCTCCCTCTTTTGGATATAGTGTGAATTTGGACTTTAGACAACCATTTGGACAAATAAAAAATAAAGTAATTTGTTTTATTTCACAGTATTTTGTCAGCGTTGTGCTTGTTCCAGAAAATAAGGTTGCATTACAGCCTTCATGTTTTTAAGAATTAAAATCAGTATAAAATGCTGATTGGTTGAAAATAGCAAGAGTGAATTATAGAAAATGACTAAAAATAATGTAATAGTTTTGTAATTTAATCATTTATAATTACAACTAAATCCAAATATGCAAAATGTTTATTATTGATAAGTATAACCATTCTTAATAACATCTCGATCTTAAGTTTATTTTTCTTTTTTTTAAATGTTGATATAACTTTGACAATAAAACAACATTTAAATACAAACAACATTTTATTTGTTATATTATAAAATACATAGGCCTATAACAAAAGCAAAAATATATAAATAAATCCAAAAGTCTTTATACAGAATCTCATTTTTTTTAAATAAATAAACAAATAAAAGATTTGTACACTTATTATTCTTTTCTTCTCTTCAGTGTGGTAAAATACTGAGAGCAAATTTTTACTTTTCAAAGATTTCATCCCCGAAAACTAATTATTCTTCATAATTATAAAGATTTACATTTAGGCTATTTATGTATGAAAACATTACTAATAGCAATACTTTATACTGAATACAGGATTTGGGGGGAAATATTATGATAAATCATTAGATATTAAAACGAAAATTATAAAGTATTAGGACAACCTCTTTTAGAAACTGTAAAACAGTATAAAGAATAAAGGAGAACAATTGTTATACACAGTGGATCTGATAAACAGCAAAGATAAGCAAAAAAAACAACTAATTAATTATTTTTAAATAAATAATATATTTTTTGAAAACAAGCCCATTTCTTATTATCAATTGAGTTAAGGCTCCGGTTTTCCCCACAAGTCCAAAGACATGTGCTATAGCTGAATTGAATAAGCTAAATTGTCTATAATGAGTGTTTATGGATGTTTTCCAGTGATAGGTTGCAGTTGGAAGGGCATCCACTGCTTAAAACATATGCAAGTTGGCGGTTCATTCCAACGTGGCGACCACAGATTAATAAAGGGACTATAAGCCGAAAAGAAAACCAATGAATGAGTTGAGCTAAGTGATTAAATGTTCTATTTAGCATAAGTCAATTAGAGTAACTATATTTTTAAGAGACCTTCATTCATTTATTCATTCATTCATTTTCCTTCGTTTAGGCTAATCGCTTTATTCATCAGGGGTCGCTACAGCAGAATGAACCACCTAAGAAACCGGTTTGTGTAAGTAACAATTCTCAGCAAGTATAAGAAAATTCACAAGTAGCTTTTAACTCAAATTACAACTCATATTAACCTTGAAAACGTAATATGAACTTTGAAATTATACCAAAACTGTGATGATATATTGCATGCCTAACTCATTTTTCTTTTTACAGGTATCGTCAGCAATAGTATGATCCTGCACAACTGGAGTAGCTGCACTCTCAGGACCGCATGTTTAGGACCGCATTTTTAGGACCCTAGTTTTTTGCGAAAGCGCCACCTACCGGATTGGATGACATAGTGAAACTGCATTTCTAGGACCCGTTTTGTAACTGCGCCACCTACCGAATTGGATTATATAGCGGAAACTTTCAGGCACTTTTATTACAGAGGTTAAAGTGTAAAACGCCTGCTTTAAGTAACAATTTTAAAATGAAACAAATGAATTTACACCTAAAATATAAATTAATAAATAGAGTTGAGTGCCTTAAAAGTCTTAAATTCCTTGAAAAATACTGTATTTTGATGAACCCCATTACATTGAACTAATTAGCTCAGTATTAAGGAAAATAAATTGAAATCAAATGGGATCAGCATTTGCAGTTACTAATTTAAAACCAGGTTGTAAAGGTTTTAGAGAGACAAGACGCAAGGAAGATTCAAGAATGTACATTTATATAAATATCCACACTTTTATTTTTATTAATGCAATTCAACCACAAAAATGACTCCACTGTTTATTCAGTTGCTGCATTCAGACTGGCTGTAGACTTTAGCTCCTGTGAATGAGAGTGAAGAAGAAAGTTCAAGTATATATATATATACACACATATACATACATATATACATACATAAATACATACATATAAATACACACACACACACACACACACACACACACACACACACACATACATACATATATATATACATACACACTGGGGTAAATAAGTATTCAACAAGTTCCCATTTTTCTCAGAAAACATATTTCTAAAGGTGCTATTGACCTGAAAACCAAAGAAAAAATATATATGAATAGAAAACAAATCTAATTACTTTACAAATTGTTATCAACATCTGGTGAAAATTTCAAGTCAACAGCACCTTTATAAATATGTTTTCTGAGAAAAATGGAAATGTGTTGAATATTCAATTCAATTTCAATTAATTTTATCTTTATTTCTAAAGCACTTTTACAATGTAGATTGTGTCAAAGCAGCTTAACATTTATTAAATTCAGTTCAGTTCAGTGTGGTTTAGTATTCACTGCTGAAAGTCCAAACACTAAAAAAAGCAAATCCACTGTTGAGTTAACATATATACCAGTAACAAAAAGGCTCTTTGAGCATTGTGCAAAATTAACCATATTCTGACCTGTAATGATAATCTTTACCAGAAAGAAAGACCTGCTCAGCATCATCCAAAGACCAGCTCCTCAAGACACCCAGAGGATGTACGATGGCCTTTGAAAAAAAAATCATTAAATATGAACTAAAATACCACCACAGAACAGCAAATCATTTTACATGGATTCATAAATGAGTAGCACCCAGCATGCAGTTTATATACTTATTTGGCCAGACATTCCTCTGGAAAATGAACACCACAGATAATCTGCACTTCATCATAGATATGCTATAAACTCAAGAACACAGCTAGCATTTGTAACTGTATTTATAAACTGCTTATCAATGTCTATTAAATGTAGAGTTAATGCTAAACAAATAAAATATTAATAAATTAACTAGTTATTAAATGCTTAATAATTATTTATTTATAGTATGCAGATGTTATAAAGTGTTACTCAACAGTTTGAGATAACCTCAATGAAAATATTCCTGTAGTTTGTTTTCTTTTCCTCCTACAATGAGCCTAAGCAATCCAATCATATTGGCCATCACTTCTTTTTCGCCAGGTAAAACATACCTGATATAAATTAAAGATATGAGACTCTATATGGTTAAGACCTGCAGAATAAGCCTAACTTTCAGAATCTCATTCATCACTGTAAAACGATGACAAAACATCAGGCTAATAACACATACAGTATTGTGGGGCAAACAGGCAGTCAGCACAATTTTTAATGTGCTAATGTAATACAACGAATAACACGAATTCAGTAAAATATAGATAAATCTAAAACTCTTACATCAAACGTGCTTTTACCATCTTAGTTTAATGCATGTCACTAAGCACATTAGCCGTTAAGTCAACAAGCCATTAAATCAACAATGTTTCATTAAACCATGGTCACGAGTTACGAACGACGTATAATCAAACTAGAAAACGAACTCTAGAAAATTATTAACAGTTATAGCAGCTCTCACTCTGGCTGTGTAAAATTATCCATATTTATTATTATAATATTTTATTCTTCTTCTGGAAAAAAAATCGTCACGTAACATTTTTGTCCCAGACCCTTAAAAGTGGGGTAAATCATGCAGGCTAATCTGGCATTTCTGCATAAACTCACAGTATAAAACAGCAGCATTACAAAATAAACACATACTTTAACAGTTTAAAATAAAACTTAATAGAAAAATCGGTACTTACACTTTCCTTGTCATCCGTGTCGTCCATTAGCGCATCCATGATCCAATCCGACAGGTAACGCTGTCACAAAAAACTAGGGTCCTAAAGATGCGGTCCTAAAAATGCGGTCCTGAGAGTGCAGCCACTCCAGTTGTGCAGGATTACCCTTCTCATCGTCAGCGCAAGCGCGACGTCTCTTCACACCTCGCGAGACTCTACCTCAGCTCTGAACGCCTGTGCTCTTCAATTCTCGCGATACTAGTTTCAAGTCTCACCGGTGGTTCTCTGTCTGTTTGCGGCTCGCGGAGAAGAAGATGGCGGCGCGGAGTGGTTTTCAGCCTTCGACACCCGGTGGCGGCGGAGCCCCGATGGGACCCGGGCCGCCGGTAGCCGGAGCAGGACCCGGTATGGGTCCCGGTACACCCTCAGGAAGGATGGGACCAGGCGGCCCGCAGAACCACATGTACCGATCACCGATGCCCGGTTACCCGGTAAGGCGCGAGGAGAACAAAGAAGCAGCCGCGCATAAACCGAGGGCTTTAGTTTTAAAGTCTGAACGCAGAATTTGCTCGTTTATTTAAAGCGTCAACATTGAATCCGTTTAAAATGGTTTCTATAGTGTTAAATTGAGAATATACTCTATTATTATGCTCGACTGTGGTTGCGTTGCTTACCGTTTGGTTCAATGCTAAGCGTCAAACTTTATTTCAGTAAACCAGAAATTAGATTATTTGTTTGTGTTTCACTTGAGAATGACTTGAGGAATATTAACCTGCAGTTGGTTTTGATGGTGTAAACAGAGTTTCTGCGGAAGCTCTGTGTGTAACCGCGCGGCCTACAGGAGCATCATGATGATGGCTTTGGTTGCTTTGATGACCAGTGTTTATATGCTAATTTGATGTATTCTGTGCATTACATGAGAGCAAGTCTTTGCCTAAATTACATCTGCTTTGCATATAGTTTGCTACTTAATGATTTAAGAATATGGTTTAAATGTAAAAAGTATAAACATTTAATTTCCCTAGTTTACATAGAGGTAAAGTTGGTTTTATATTCGCACAGTGGTTCATTTAGAAGTATCTGTATTGTTTACCATGTGACTCTGAATATTCGATCGGAATTAGCATAACGTTACATGTGTGACTTGAAAACAACATTAACACTTAATTGACTGTGAACAATGATTGATAGTCATTGGCTGCTAATATGTTTTTGCAATTTAGAATTTGCAAATAATACTTTTATGAAATGATATTATTAAAGGGGAAGTCTGAATGTGCGAATAAAACCAACTTTACCTCTGTCCTGTTTATTAACGTTAGACTAACAAACGTATGTTTTCGTATTGAGGTATAGTTAGCAGGGTTCATACAGTCCTGGAAAAGTCATGAAATTTCAAAAAGGCCTTCTCCGGGCCTGGAAAAGTTTTGGAAAAACACATAAACCCAGAATGTTTTGGAAAAATCATGAAAATTTGCTCAACAATTACGTGTACTTGAGTATATTTGAGATTAACTTGACTGGTACTTGACACTATATTTCATGGGAAGACTTAAAAAAAATGAAATGGGTAAAAAAAAAAAAAACTATAATAAATAACTTCAAAAATCAAAAGCAGTTTATTGGGGTAAAGTTGGTTATGTTTAAACCTTTAGACTTTGTCCTCTATAATATTATTTTACAAAAAATGTTCTTTGTAAATTCTAAATAGTGAAATCATGTTTGCAGCCAAAGACTATCAAAGTACAAAATTGTTCACGTTCAAATAAATATTGCTAATGTTGTTTTCAAGCAGACACATATGGCATTTCAGACTTAATATTCAAAGTGCTATGGTAACCAATATAGGGAGCATGTCACAAGTTGTTGCTGAATTAATGTGTGAATATAAAACCAACTTTACCCCAAAAAGCAGTTATAGCTTCACCTCGCTTTTACCGTAATTCAAGATGCATTTTGAGTTTCGTGTCAAGAAATATTTAACTCCAAAGGTAAAATATTGTGGGTGCTAAAGGCTAATTTGTACTAATTTAAAGTCTTGTGAAAACACATGCCAACATTATTGAATTTTCATGCAGACAGTAAGATAATTTCTAAAAACTATTTTACAGATATGAATATAAACTACATGAATTGTCACATTTTTTTGATATGCTGCAAATTGGAAGGTGCATTTTTTTTACTTATTTACCACATGTATATAGACCAGGGGTAGGGAATCTATAGCTCGGGAGCCACATGTGGCTCTGTAAACAAAAATATGTGGCTATCCAGCTATCTCTTTTCAGTAATATTTCAAAAATTTTAATTACTAGAAATCAGTTTTCTATTGAAAATACAATTACAATTTTCCTTATATTGTATTTTCTACATCAAAATGAATAAGAACTGTTAGCAATAAAAGGACGTTTCAACCAATGTGCATAGCATACGTGGTGCTGTGGTTTTACTTGAATCGCGACAACAATAAAAGGCAAGTTATATTTGTTACATTTCTATGGTAACTTACATTTCATTGGTAACCTCATGCACGTAAATTCAAACATTCGGGTGGCGATGGCAAAAAAAAGAAAAATTTACATTGGCCTTTCTTCGTATATTGTGATTTGCCATATTTGTTTTTATTTTTGAGTTATGCATGGACATAAATAAAGGTTTTGTGTATAAATATATAAAGGTTTTGTCATACACACAACCCATATGGCTTTTTAAAAAATGCATTTGATTAAAAAAAAATCTGAAATCGCTCTTTGCTGAAAAAAGGTTCCTGACACCTGATATAGACATTGCATTAAACACGAAACAACATCATGAATATTTACCTTAGTTTTGAAAAAGTCATGAAATTTTAGTCGTAAAATTGTGAATGAACCCCGAGTTGGTTTTATACTTCCACATTCGTTCATTTTAACAGTCCTCATATTGTTTACCACGCTATGCATATTCTGTCTGAAATTGCATACAAGTATGACTACAAAACAACATTAGCACTTCTTAATCAACTGAACATTTGTACTTTAAAAGAGATGGGCTGCTAATAGGATTTCACTATTCAGTATTTGCAAAGAATACTTTTCTGAAATTATTGAGAAAGTCAGAATATGAATATAAAACTAACTTTACCTCAATTGTTTTATTAGCTAATAAATAAGATTGGGAAAATAATCATATTCTGTAGGCATGGGATAACCGTTTTCAAGGTTTACTGCGGTTTGGAAAAGTCAAGGTTTTAAAACCGCTAAAATGTTTTTTTAACACCATTCCTAAAGTATTTGTAAAAAAATGTATTTTGTTTTTTATGACGACAGTATCTCCAGCAGAAAAAAAATCCATAGAATTTTTAAATTGTAAAGAAATCTGTGTTTTTGAAACTAATAAAGACAGCAGAAGTCAATTATTCATTTGGATTATTCATTCAGCCTGACATGTTTATGCTCAAAATATTATAAATCTTTCAAAAAATAAAATATAATGTTTTCAAATGGGGACTTTTTTTTTGTTTTTTTTAACCCAGGCATTTAAGAAGAACATATTTTAGAGCAGTAATCACAATACCGTGATACAGTGATATTTTTATCCAAGGTTATCATACTGTCAGAATCTTATACCAGCCCATGCCTATACTGTTGCTTGACATGAGATGTTTCTAAGTTTCAGTGACCGTCTGCACCAACATTCAGATGATCAGCAGCACTTGTTTTCTTAGTGATGAACACAACTGTTTGTGTGCTGATTTGTGACTAAATATCTGAGTTGTTCCAGGATTTAAAAATGAATGAGCAATCCCAGCATTATGGATGTGACATTTGCTGTAAAAACTAAAAACATAAATTCACAGAGAAATTATACGTTAACGTTATATTGAAATGTCTGTTTATATTTTCCAAAACAACTAACCACAGAGTTAAGAGATCAGAAAAATATTATTCTGTAAACATGTTTTGTACTTTAAATAAGGAAAATAAACATGCATTATGGATGTGACCAAAAAAGTCTGCGAGTTTACAGTATACAACATGCTTTTTAGAAATTCTGTGAATTAAACTGCAATACCCAAAATAAATAATGCTCATCAAATGGATGAGTTGCTCACTATAGAACAAAAATGATTGAGTTTATTTAATTTGACATTTTTGCATTTATGAGGGAAGAGCTTGGTTATGGATGTGACAAATATGAAATTGCCACTTGTATGACTTTGGTAATTTAAATGTAATAGTTGGAAAACATTGACTCTTGAAAACACAAGACATTTTTGAGCATTTTTAAATGACTTTAAAATACTTCCTTACACAAAAAAAAAACATAAAAAGTGGTTTTCCTGTATTGGTGAAAACTTATTTTTTCAATGGCAAGGTTGACGTTTGTATAGAATTGCTCAAATGTCAAACTCCACATTGCACAAAATATGTGGAGAATCTGTGGCCTCATCTTGCCTTCAAGGATGAATTAGGTCGCAGTTTGTGCTTGTGTACATCCTTCAGTGAAGCCTTGATTTCATTACTCTTCCATTTAGCAGGAAAACATTGGTATTTCATGTTCGTCCACAAGATATTTGTTTTGCATTCTCCTGTTGTTTGGACTGAGATTCAAGGGTATTTGCTGGTTCATTTAAAGTAATAGAGTTGAGGAATGATATAAGCATCTTTCTTTATAATTGATTTCGATTATTGTCTTAAAATGGATTGCTTGTGCTCTTTTTAAATGCCATTTTACAACATGACTAGATTTGAACATTCAGATCTTGATTTTTGCAATTAGAGGGGAACCAGAACAACACAACGTTTACCACAATTACATCATTAAAAAAAAACAAAGTATTACATTTTGTTTTGTCCGCCATTCAGGCAGTTGTTATTGAAGAATTATTTCCGACAGGCCTATCAGCAGCTTAATGCAAAGTGAAAGGCTTTTGTATAGCCCACAAGTCTAAATTCTGTGTAGAAAACTGTCTGGTTATACTTTATCCTGCTTATTACATGGCTGTTTCTCATAATGCATAAACAATTAAACACAAACCATTGTTCTGAGCTGACAGAAACAAAAATGGCCAAATAAAGCACACTCTAACCCAATGTTTCTCGACCACTTTCCTTGAAGACCACCAGCTCTGCACATTTTTCAAGTCTTCTTAGCTAAATTTACCTGATTCAGATCATCAGCTCATTAGCAGAGACTGATGACCTGTATTAGGTGTGATAAACAAATCAGACATCCAAAACATGCAGTGTTGGTGGGCCTCCAGGAATGTGGTTGAGAAACCTATATATTCAGTCACAAGATGGCACCAAACTATCCAAAACAATGATGAGAGCATATAAATATCGACGTCAACATATTCACTGATGGTCAAGATGAAGTAATACACTAGATGAGGCTGTGTTATTTGTTTAAACAGATGTTATCTCTGAATAACACACTTTGGAATGTCTTGAATGACCCAATCAAGTATTGCAAACAGCCATGTAATAAATTGTGATAAAATATATTTAAACTTGCTTAAATGTATGTGTATAACAATCGTGCTATGATTTATTTCTGCCATATGTTCCTAATGGAACTATAAGGGATGAATGTTTTATAATTGGTGCTTAAATACAGTGTTTCATCCGTTTGGATCATCTTTTGTTCCTTCTTTGCAGAGACCAGGAATGCCTCCAGCCAGTCGTATGACTCCTCAGGGACCCTCCATGGGGCCCCCAGGTTACGGGGCCAGTCCTGTTTCCCGCCCCGGCATGCCAGTAATGGACCCGTCCCGCAAACGTCCAGCGCCAAATCAGATACAGCAGGTTCAACAGCAAAATCGCAACCAACAGTAAGTCTAACTGATGGATTAAACCTGATGCTAATGTCAATATAACAGTAATCTTTTGAAATGCCTGATTAGATTCATTCTCATGCTGCTGTTTTGTGTTTTAGTGCCAAGAAGAAGAAAATGGCAGATAAAATACTACCTCAAAGAGTAAGTGGACGTGAAACTGTCCTCTTTGTTGTTATTTTCGTGTTGGAGTAGTGCAAGTATTCTGGATAAACTAATCCAAGGTTTAAACAAATGAATGGACTGGCATTGCAATGTTTTGCAAATGTTATTTTTATGTAATGTAGTTGGTTTGCCTTTGTTGCTGTTTTTCTTGCCCAATCAAGTTAAATGTTTAAAAAAAAACATTAAAATGCTGCAATTATTTAGATTTTCTGCTTTATTTCAGATCAGAGAGCTTGTCCCAGAGTCTCAGGCTTATATGGACCTGTTGGCGTTTGAGAGGAAGCTCGACCAGACCATCATGCGCAAACGACTTGATATTCAGGAAGCTCTCAAGAGACCCATTAAGGTAGTTTTCGATTTTTTGCCAACATTGAGTGCAGTTTGGTCATTTGTTCTCTTCTAGAGGACAAAATTGTGGTGGTTTATGTGCTTGAACAGCGTTTGATCTGTTTGTTCCGCGCAGCAAAAAAGAAAACTCCGAATATTTATCTCCAACACATTCAACCCTGCCAAGCCAGATGCAGAGGATGGCGAGGGAACTGTTGCATCTTGGGAGTTGCGTGTGGAGGGGCGGCTTCTTGAGGATGTGAGATTATCATTTCAATGGTTTCAAAAGGGTTTAGTTCACCCCAAAATGACCATTACCTCCTTTATTTTCTCTTGTGTGGATTTAAACCTTTTATTGTTAAACACAAAAGAAGATATATTAAAGAATGCTGTTTGCTGGCACCCAATGACTTCTATAGTAGACAAATAATGCTAAGGAAGCTAAGGGTTGTCAGGCACCAACATTTTTCAAAATGTCTTGTTCTGAACGAGTAAATGATGATTAATTGTTCATTTTTGGGTGAGCTATCCCATTAGGTCAAACCCCTTATCGTTTCTGTAGAAGTACACTATTTTTATTTGTAAAACTGAATTCTTTGTCACAGACTGAAACCATAAATTGTTTTAGATTTTTATCTTGTATATTATCATTATTATTGTTGTTCATTTATTTTTATCTTGTGTATTATTTACTGCTGGTGATGACTTCTAATTGCTATAATATTTTTATAATCATATGCCAATGCCATGACATAGCCAAAGAAGCTGATATGGCAATAAACTCAATTTCTTTCTCTTATCACAGACCGCTGTGTCCAAGTATGAAGCCACCAAGCAGAAGAGGAAGTTTTCTTCTTTTTTCAAGTCTTTAGTGATCGAGTTGGACAAAGACTTGTATGGACCTGACAATCATTTGGTTGAGGTGAGAATCAGAAATTGTGTTTCTCAAGTATAGTACTTTAAACTTAGTTTATTGCTGTGCTGTCCAGTAGATCCTCACTGCTGTCACTTATGTGCCATTTCTCACATCTTTGTCTTCATTACAGTGGCACAGAACAGCCACAACTCAGGAGACAGATGGATTTCAGGTCAAGAGGCCTGGGGATGTTGGGGTCCGCTGTACTGTACTGCTCATGCTGGACTACCAGGTAAACTTCAATTATAGTTGTGCACATGGTGTGTTTATTAGCATTTTTGTTCAAAAATCACCAGCAGATGGCGCCACCTCTTCTTGAGACATGCTTGAACTGGATATTATTTAGATTAAATGTGACTGATGGACGAAATCATTCTCTTTCTAGCCCCCTCAGTATAAGCTGGACCCCCGCCTGGCCCGGCTGCTGGGGATTCACACTCAGACCCGGCCTGTGATCATTCAGGCTTTGTGGCAGTATGTGAAGACCCACAAACTCCAGGACCCTCATGAACGAGAGTTCATCAACTGTGACAAATACCTCCAGCAGGTAACGAATGTCATGGACTTTATTTATGGGAACTAGTGAATGAAGACTTAAACTGGAAATACCCGTTTAGACAGAAGTGGTGACGTCTGACAATTATAAACTTCTTTAGTTGATAATTAAAGACTAGTAAAAAATTTCAGTATTATCAGAAAAAAACTACTGTGAAACTAAACTTTAAAATATTTGATCCTGAACGGCTATAGTTCAACTTAATTCATTTAATAATTGGCACTTCTACTTGGTGTAGGTCTTTGAAACAAACTCCTTTTACAATTCTTCTCATTCTAGATGTTTGAAATCCATTAATTGACTTATTTTATTTTAGATCTTCGTTTTAAGTTTTAATTCTTATTATAGATCGTACAACCAATAATAGATAGTTCTAGATTTTTGACAGCGGTTGGTTCTTCTCAGTGACTACGTTTACATGGACATCAGTAATCGAGTTATTTGCCTTAGTCTATGGACTGTTTTATCCTATCACAAAACCCGGTGAGAAGTCCTACATGACGGTAATAGTTTGATTAAGGTTTTTACATGTCTGTACCGCACTTCAATAATGCGACTGAAATCGGCATACTCCACACGTCTTAATTCTATTTCTCTTTAGTTCAATTAAGACCTTAATCGGATTAAATTAATCAAAAATCGCTTTTAACTTTTAATCGCATTAAAATCGAATTATTGGTGTCCATGTAAGCGTACTGAGTGTAAATATTGTTGGTTCTGATTATTATTATTATTATTTAAATATTTGCAAAACCCATTGTCAGTTCTTCTTATTCTAAAGGTTTTAAATTCAATTTACTTTTTTTTTTAAATTCCTCAGAACTTGTAAACAATAATAGCTGGCTGTTTTTTCTGGATTTTTGTAACCTTGTAATTGTTCTTCTCATTGTCAGTCTTACAATTCCAGAAGTTGTTTTATTTCTGCTTGTTCTGATTTTTTTTTAATTTTTTAAGTTTAACAATTTATACCATGTGGTTTTAATGCTTTGAAACAAACCCTGTAATTGTCAGTTCTTTTTCCAGATGTTATAAATCCAATAATCAACAGGTGGTTCTTTCTAGATACCTTATACTAGATGGACCTGATAATTGTCTGTTCTTCCAAATGTAGATCTTTAAAATCCAGTAGTTTCGTGTCTTCGTGTGTAATTTGAACCTATTAACACTTGTTTTTCTCAATGTAGATTTTTGAAACCCAGAGGATGAAGTTCTCTGAGATCCCTCAGCGGCTGCATGCCCTACTGATGCCTCCAGAACCAATCATCATCAACCACGTCATCAGGTACCCACTGATAACATGTTAGTCAGAATCACTATCTTTCCTTATCTGCTACGTCATCTAAACTGCTGTTTACTTCTTAGCGTTGATCCCAATGACCAGAAGAAGACTGCATGCTATGATATTGACGTGGAAGTGGACGACACCCTGAAGACCCAGATGAACTCTTTCCTGCTTTCCACGGCCAGTCAGCAGGAGATTGCAGGCCTCGACAACAAGGTTCGAAAGTTTCACCATGTTCGGAAAGTTATGTCTTTGTTCTGGCTGAATAAACAGTCCTCAAAGTGTTTGGCGAGCCGTCACAGGGGGAAAGCGTTACTTTTTTCTGCTCTTTTGTTTTGTGGCTTGGTCTGCTGCATATCAAAGTGACTCTTGGCAGTGGTCTGAATGTTTGAGCAGATTTGTTTTGTATATACAAGAGGTGTGGTGCAGGAGAAAGGGTTCTGCTTTCCATCATGTTTTGTCATTGTTTTTTAAAGTGTCCTAATATTGTGTTTGAGTCCCTTACAGCAGGTTTAAATGCATTTAAGTTGAGAAAATATTGTAATTTTCTCAGAATATGCCAATTATAAGAATCATTTTACAATGATTTTGATGTTTGTTTGAAAATTTAGGCTGTAAACCCCTTTCTTAAATAAGACAACTCTGCTGTCATTGGACAGCTTGCCATTAAGGCCCCGTTTACAGTAATGCATTTTAGTTTTAAAACGCATAAGTTTTGCTACGGTTAAGCCATCCATCCACACTACGCCGGAGTTCTCGAGCGCCGAAAACTGAGCGTTTTGAAAACGCTGGAGAGGCCGTTTTCATTCTAAAAAGCTGCTGCTCCATTTCAGTGTGGATGAGGAAAAACGGAGACATCTGAAAACGGAGGCGGGGCTGCTGAGATTCGCTACCTGATTGAGGCTTTTGTGTCATTGCGTATCCTTCCCTCCTTCGTCAAGTTTCTATCACATGACTATAACACATGGCTTTAATGCTACTGGAAGTTAGTACTGAAAACAACAACATGGACACAGAAATGGGAGCGTTGTTTGCACTATTGTCTGTTTTAGGCGCCACTGTGCAGTTATTCATTTGTTACGTTCGGTAACAACTCGACCTCGTCGTCTGTCCACAAAAATACCTCTCTTGCTTTCTTTGCCCGACGCGTTTAATGTACAACCGGCGTTTGTTGACTAACAATAACCAAATGCCGAGCGAGACGCATGCTTTCTGTTTATACTAGAACTCGCATACCCAGAGTGCGCGAATGGTCACGTGATATACGTTTTTGGTGGCGTAGTGTGGACGGAGATATGTTCAGAGACGCTAGGTGAAACGCTAGTGTGGATGCAGATTGTTTTTGAAAAACGCCGTTTTAAAACTAAAACGCACTAGTGTAAACGGGGCCTAAGTCTGTTTTGATTGGTCTTTCCATGTCTGAAATGAAATGACCATTTCAAAATCTTAATATGTCATGAGTCGGTAGAAAATGAAAATCCGTTGATTTAAGTGTGTTGATGTAAATCAATAGCTGACAAAAGATTCATTAAAGTGATTTTTCTCTATGATGTTTTGAGAGACACTAGCTATGTTTCTATTTCAAGATATGAACTAAACCTATGTGTAAAACTAAAATGTTGCATTAAACATTTGTGAAAGAAGCAGCATTTCTATCCAATAAATTGAAGAGACTAAAATAGTCATTATTGATAAACTGGCACCAAATATCAAAATAAAAAATGGAGTTTGCTAATGTAGGGGAAACCACTTGGGGTCTTTTTCTTATTTAATAATTATTAGTACCCAGAAAACCAACGAATGCAGTTATAACAACCTTTTTAGAGACACAAGACCGTTCTGGAGGTAATAATTTGACAGACTTCAGTTTTTCCTCTATGATTTTTTCCAGCTGTGGCTGCAGGTCTTTTACACAAATCTACCAACTACCGGTGGTGTTGTTTCAATGACAAATGGAGAAATGTGGCGAGCGCAGTATTACACGTCGAGATCGCATTTATGTAAAGTTTATACGAGCATGCCAATCTCTGCTTGCGCGCCGATTTCCTCTGGTCGTGCACAAAACTTTTTGCACGTCCTTAAACACGCTGCTCAAGCGCAGATCTTTTCGTGCTCTCTTAAATAAACACTACTGAAGAGCGATTTACTGTGTTGAGTATTGAGTCTGTCTCCAACATTTATTAGATTTGCAAGGAATATTTCTGAAAGTCTCCAATAGACCTACAGATCGGTATTAATGCATCCTGGAGTAAAGTGAAACGGCAATAAACTCCAATAAGATAAAGTCTTTGTTTGCAGAATCACAGACCTTAATCTATAAATAAAGTACAATTATGGAAACTGTTCATCTTAACTGAAAGCTACGTCGTGTTTGCTGGCCTCACGCATCACACACCTGTCAGCAAGTCAGTCAGTCTGTCAGCACTTAACCTTAAAGTGTTAAACAAATAGTTCACTGCCTTACTACGGCAACAGAAAAGTTTGCGCTGTTATAATTTACTTACCTTTTAATGCGTTTTGGTGCGATTATAACCCGCTATTAAAAACAACAACGACAATGAATGAATGTTGTGAATTAAGAAGAAGCTGTAATGTAGTCGTGTCGGGATGAATTTTGGTGTGGCGCCCCGCCATGGAAGAATGAATGTAGTGGAAACCATGGACTTTGGCTAAGGCATTTTAGAATGACCAAAGCAAGATTTTCTTATAAAAATAGAAAGATGGTAACTTGGGTAATATTTTTATATTCATCTTTGCATTGGGTAATTACAAACTACAAATAACAGATTTTTCTAAAGCTCGTGTCCTGCTCTTAAATGTTATGCATTTCTATTTACTGAAAATCTTTAGTAGTCCAGTGAACACTTCTGGCACGGCAGCCGGACTCACCATGGATAAATTGTTGCCACGGTGAATCCAAAGTTAATGTGATCATGGTTTTCAGCTCGAGTGATTATGAACTGCTTGAATCAGTAAGACAAATCAGCTGTAGGTGAAAGTTCAGTTCCTTTTTATTTCTTCTATAAAAGTTTATATGACCAACGTTCATTGAAAACGTGGATTTATAGTGATGATATAGATATGAAGTATGTTTATTGATGTCTATTGTTTTTTTTTTTTTTTACTTTGATTCGAATTGATTACATTTGTTAAAATTACTCTCAAATTAGTTTTTATGCTCAGGGAAATTACCTTGCTTTCTGAAGCATTGCCAAAACTTATATTGACAAAACACAAGTGTTTATAAATGTGAGGGTTTTGGGTCGATTACTTAGTGATTTAACTAAGTTGAGTTGTGAACTTTCACACACAAGTTTGACCAATTTATTTTTTGGATGTTCACCTTTGACCCAGTTGAATCAGTTGTCAGTTTGCAACAGTCTAAATCTCTGTCGTTCCCAGTCAGTGGTTGAACTTTGTACTTGGTGAAAGTTTGTGTTGATGAAAGAGGTGAGATTACAGCAAAACCTCTTCGATTGAGTATGATTGCTTTTATATGAGCTCAATAACAAAGTTCATATCGAGTACACATGGTTAGTGGACCAGCACTAACGCTCTTATAATTAAAGTGTTGCAAATGGTAAACAAGATCACTCATGCCAGTTGTTTGCTTGTTTCCTCAGATTCATGAGACCATCGAAACCATTAATCAACTGAAGACTCAGAGGGAGTTCATGTTGAGCTTTGCGCGAGACCCGCAGGGCTTCATCAATGACTGGCTCCAGTCGCAGTGCAGAGACTTGAAGGTGAGATCAAAACAGTCAAAAACTGAGCCCTAAGCATCATACTAACATGTTTAATGAGGATATCATCATGTTTTAATTGCATTTAATGGCACACAGTGTGTCCGCGGGGTCTTAACGTCTTAATGGTTTAACATGAAAAATAAGGCTGTCCAAAACCACCACCTACTACTCAGTAGACACTGCATTTGTATTAAAACGTACTACTCTGCCGTTAGAAAAGTACGTTCTATACAGTATGAATGTGAACAGTATGAATGGAACTCTGACATACTACATTTACCATTTTTGCCATGATCACATGATTTATTTAGTTGCATCTTTTCACTCCCATTCATGAATTTTCTTGCGGGGCATCATGTGATAGCACAGCATGCATGGGATGCACACTTCAGAATCTCGCTGGAAGTAGTACTTCTCACATACTGATTTTCGAATTCTATGAATTTAGACATGCTACTCAGCTCACAGTTTTTCGCCCACTATGTAGTATGGTAGTATGTGATTTCGGACACAGCCCAGATTTTAGGCCTTAGTCTTAAATTCAATTAAATCAGATCTTGCAGGTCTTAAATAATTTTAAACAGGTCTCAATATTCCCATATCCAGGAAAAGCTACTCAATCGGGCCAACACGCATCCAATCACCAACAATCCATCTCAATAGAACTATTTATAGAACTATTTACCAATATGGTTTAATTATCATCCTTATAGTAATATTTATTTAAAAGTGCTCTCTGTTTATAGTCCATATAGATCATTTCAATGTGGTCATGTCATTGGTCCATGAACATTTTCTGCTTGTTATCAAACTATTTCATAACTGTAACAAGAGGCAATTCAATCATCACTTAATCTTAAAACGGCTATATTTACATTTATTTATCAATATGTGACTCTTTTTGGATTCTCGGAAGAAATAGAAATTAAAAATGTAAAACAGGAAATGTATTGGGACCGCTGTTTTTGTTTACATCCCTCAAAATGGTCTATCTGGTGAGTACACTGACCTGGACAGACTGTTGTGCATTTAGTTTAGTAAAGTTTTTTTTGTTTGTTTTTTTTTCAAGATAAGTTATGTTGCAAAATGTGTATGCATACTCCTAGAGTTTGCTTGTTTTGACCATTTATTTTAAATGTGTGGCTAAGAAAAATCATCGAGTTCCTGGTATTTTGGAAGTCATATTTTGATGATGCTGTGACTGAGTGTGGAATCGTGGGAGTTGTGTTTTTTATCATCCTATGGGACACCTGCAGAAACCCTGTTGATGGATGAGCTAAAATATTCAACACCTGTTATCATGGTGGTATAAAGATGAGTAAGGCTGGACAGGGTATCTGCAGGGTCTTAAAAAGTCTTAATGTTTTCAATTTCAAAAACAAAATTGTTGGCCTTAAGTCCTAAATTACTGAAATATTGTGTTGTAGGTCTTGAATCATTTTAAATGGGTCTTCATTTTCTAAATGTTCATGTAAAGCTGCCCAATCAGGCTGACACCCATCCTATCACTAACATTCCATCTCAATAAATGTTTTTTAAAAAGTTTATTTATTAACTCTATTTAATAAAAAACAATTAATTTTCTTCCATAAAATAAGTTTTTTTTTTTTTTTTTTTATGTTTTAACTTGGCCTTTAGGATAAAAAAAATGCTTAATGTTTAGCCTTGTGCAAGTATAAAACTTCATTCATAATGGTCTTTATAAGTCTTAAATTTGACTTGATGAAACCTGTAGAACAACTGCTGGAAGCAAAACACTGAACAATTGCTGATAAAAGACGAGTGTGACATCGCATGAAAGCAACTGAGGTTTTATTATGCCAGAATCCACCACTTCCATTTTAAAAACAAAAACCCGGATATCGACTGTATGAGACATCATTAGCATGAACACAGCACACACGGTCTCACTAAAAATGCTTATTTCACTGACTTTGAACGGCTTTTGTAATATTTGACTGTCATTACTTGCGTCTATTAGTCTCTAATGCTGTTTGGATACTTTAATGAAAAACCCTTACATATTGTGTCTTCAAGCTGCATGGTTTATTAAAATGTGTAGCAAAAGTGCTTGTAGAAATGGGTTGTGTAACCTTCGCCCAGACTCGGTCTTTCTCCATCTGTATGTTTGCTCACAATGTTAGTTGGTGGACTGACTGGACTTTTAATGACTTGGGGGGTTGGGAGTATTTTAAAGAGGCGTTTGTGAGAGATGTTGCATTTTTAAATGGTTTGCGGAGAATCAAGCTTGCTATCATTTTTCTCAAGCTTAATTTATCCATCCAAAAATGTACCATCTGTTGCAAAGCAGTTGCTTGCGCTTCCTTGGGATTGCACATCGTGTCTTGAGAGTGTTGCGCTCTGGACAGAAGCCATTAATCAGTAACCGTTGTTCTGCTGACGTCTGAATTTGGTGTCCTTGCAGACGATGACGGATGTTGTCGGAAACCCAGAGGAGGAAAGAAGAGCCGAGTTCTACTACCAGCCTTGGGCTCAAGAGGCTGTGTGTCGCTATTTCTATTCAAAGGTGATGCTTTATACTTTACAGTTCTTGTTTCCTGTTAACACTGCATCCATTTTAATTATAGTTTCTCACATAATCTCTTGTGATCTCTCAGGTCCAGCAAAGGAGACAGGAGCTGGAACAGGCTCTTGGCATTCGAAACACATAAGCAAGCCTGTGGCCGTTACGACACAGGACCAGAAGGGATTCTGGGTAGCGAATTTCCTGCTGCTTGGCACTGCAGATGCTGATCACTACAGTTTTATTACGGTTTATCTTGTGCTGTCCTGCTGTAGCTGCCCAGGAGTGACCCTTCATAAGGAAATTACCTTATTTTTGTTGTGACTCCGCCAAACTAACAAACCCCTTGAAATTCTGCTGTCCCACTTGATTTTTACCTGATTCAAGCTAGATGATTTAGCGATGTTGTTGTTTTCCGACCAAACTGACTTGCTTTTTTTTTTTTACCGCTAATATCGGAACTCCAAACAAAAATGGTAAAAAGTATTCTCCGTTCATGGCTTCTTGGAGTCGTTTAATTTTGAAATGATCGATATTGTCTTTTGATATCTTAATGTTCTCATAATATGAACTTTATGAAGATCTAGTCTAGTTAAGCATAGATGACTGATAATGATGTAGTGTAGTACCTCAGCTCTCTGAAGATGAATTATTCGGAGGAAGTTCCTTAAACGAGTGCGTTAAAGGTGGGCTCACTGGTTAACATTCTCTGCAATGACTTTGAGAACTCGTCTGTTCAGTAACCGTTTTAGATCCACAAGATTAGATGTACTGCTGATCCACCTGTTTGATTACAGGTCTGTTGGGCACAAGCTTTGTCCTGGCCTGTAAAGTACTTCCACTCTAACCTCGCTGTGATATGTATTAATATATTTAGAGAATTGCCTATATGGTTTGTTGGTTCGTTTAATTAATTTTCATTTTGTCATTCTGAAAAGTAACATGAAATAAACCTGCCAATGCAAGTACTACCTGTCCATGGCTACCCAAAAATCATGTTTAGGAATACTATCAAGTGATTGAATATTTAATCGATGCACTGCAGATAGGCCATGGGTTCTTCCACTAAAGTAATTCAAGCATTTAGAAGCCAAGTGCTAAAAACTTTAACATTCTGAGTAGTTTAAGTTTTCTTTAAGTCATGCGTTTGCTTATTTTATATCTTTTTAATCCTTTTTTTCCCCTTTAATGGACCAAATGTTGTATTTCTGTTAGCCCTTGTGTTATAATAAAGATTATCTTGTATTGATGCTCACCTCGGTGTCGAATGTGCTCGCTAAATTTATTTTATTTCTTTTCCTTCAGGCCTAATGACGATTTTCAAGAATGACTCAAGATTTTTGTTAAATCCCACATATAACTTTTTAAACATTTGTGATGTTGTGCAAACAGCTTAATAGCTAAATTGGTAGTTGTAAATCGAATGTTTGAGGGTTTGCTAATGTTGATTTAAGATGGCAAATCCTAAAGTCACATTCAACTTTGGCGCCAACAACATCCTGAAAATATTTACTGTATTTTTAGTGTCATGGTTAATGATTGCATTTGATTACTTAATTCCATCGAACTGTTTAAATTATTGCCTCAGGTGTCACCCATTGGGTTCATGCTAAATACATGAGGTATTGCAGCAATGTTTCTTGTGTAGAAACGTGTATCTATTGGCAGATCTAGGAATTTTTAAAAGCAGGGACCAAGGCGGGGCCACAGTTTACAAAGAGGGGGCAAGTTTTTCAATTGGTGCGAGCACCTAAACCAGGGATGTCACACTCAATTCCTAAAGGGCCGCAGCTCTGCACAGTTTAGTTCCAACCCTAATTAAACACACCTGAACAAACTAATTGAGTCCTTCAGCCTTGTTTGAAACCTAAAGGTAAGTGTGTTGAAGCAGGGTTGGAACTAGACTGTGGAATTGAGTTTGACATCCCTGACCTAGACTCTGGAATGCTTGATTCTAATAGGTCAATCATGACATTCAGGCTCATCCAGGTACTGCAAATCATCATATAAACATTCATTCTACAATTGCAATGTTGAGCTGGTTTATGGGAACATGTCTTGTCGTTGTAATTCAAAACAGTTAAAATCATAATTAATGGGGTCTTTCCACATTCAAATCTTGATTTTGGTGTGCTGGGAGGGTTGGGTTTATGGGTCAGGCCATCTACATTATACCTATGGAGAGGTCCTTATAAACCAAAATGTAGAAGTCAAAATTATTTTCCCTCCTGTGATTTTTTTTATTTTTTATTTTATTTTTTTTTATTATTATATATTTCCGTATTGATGTTTAACAGAGCAGGATATTTGTCACAGTATTTACTATATTATGTTTAATAATTTGATTTCACTATTGAATTCACCATGAAGTGTACCTTTAGCGTTGACATAACTCAAAATGGTAATTTAATAACTCGTATGACAGCTATGAGCGGAATCCTAGAGTTACCTTGTAACTCTGACATGTTTAGTCTACTCGCATATGACTATCAATTTTGGTCTGTTTTAAAATATGTGTTTGAAAAACAAACTATGCCAAGGAACATTATTACAATTTTAATCCCTCTTTTGGAAAAAGTACAGGGACTATAGCACTTGTCATTCAAAAAAAAATTGCTATAGGTAACACCTGCGTTCGACATGAATTAAAGTGCGTCTAAGTTTGAGCTTTGCTATAAATCAGTTAGGGGAGAGGGGCACTACAGGAGCCAACCCGATTTAAACGGGGCCGGTGCCCCACAGATCCCCACAGACCCTGCGTATATCCTAATCTTCACTGTTTTAATAAATTCTTTGTTGGAAGCAAATATTTACATGAATGTCTTTTTTAAACAGCCAATGTAACGTAGTGCCAAGAGCTAAATAGCAAAAATTGTGAATGTAATTTATTATTTTATTTTATTTTTTTGTCGATGTTAATGCCAATGTTGTTTCAGGTTAGCAAATAGCCGTTAGGTGCATTTTTGGCGCCACCAACGTCGTGTAAAACTTTACCATAAACGCTTATTGATTTACGTTTTAAATTAAGCGTTTATCGTATTAACGTCGTTAATGATAGCTAGACTACTTACCTTTCAGTAAGATGTTTCTGTTTTAATTGTAGTCTCGGGATTTCCTCAGTATTGGAGAAATATTTCTTATAGCCTATTATAGAAATGTAATAATCTTCGCGGTACAATTATCAGTTAATTCAAACGTATTCCTCAACCCATACTTAACAGTTGTTAAGTAACTTTAGGTAGTGGTTTCTAATAATAATAAATCATCGTTGTCACTTGTCAGTCCAGTATGTATGAGAAGAAACCAGCCAATGCGCGTTAAGGGGAGTGATGCGCGTTCACAGGCTATTTAAATGCGCGCGCACAGGATTTTCTCCGGTCCGGCAGCGGCTCTCAAACACACCAGAGTCCTTCAGCCAGTCCAGCCGGGACAGAAGCGCAGCATGGCGGCCAAGAAAATCTGCATTATCGGCTCTGGCAACTGGTGCGTGACATTTACGTATTTTACATTCATTTTGCGCATATACATGTATTATTGTAATGCAGGGGGCAGCGGGGGCTGAAGTATATTTGGAAGCAGCCTGTTTTAACACCCAAACTGAATTGATTTCTATTTTGGGAAGTTGATTAAATGCGGTATATTTAGTATTGCACGGCTTCGCTCTGCGGATATCAAGTGTAATCCAGGAATACTTGACCTTTCCGTTAATATACTTGAAATATCAGAGATTACACAATGTTTTGTCGCTGTTAAGATCCTAAAGTGATTTGAATGTTTCTTAAATGGGTACCTTGCTATTTATTTTATTATGCATTTCATGTACTTATTGTCTTTAATGTCCAGATGTGCTTTGTTTGGTTTGCTGTAGTTGCTGAGGTAATATTTGCTGAGTAATGATTGACTCAGGTGTCCAGTGATCCTCTTTAAACTCAAAGAAAAGGCTGCAGACCCATAAACTTTAGCCTGTTCTAGAGCATTGCATATACTGAAGCAAAGCTATAATATGCAGTGGATTAATATTATAATCATCTATTAACATCTCAGCAGCATGGTTTCATGTTTCCAATCTTAGAGGATTATTCAGTTTATTTTTAGAAGATGTTTTGTTGTACTGGTGCAGACACACAAGATTTAAAGGGATAGTTCACCCCAAAAAAAAGAGAAAAAATTTGTCATTTACTCAGCATTGTCACGATTAATCTTTAGATACTATACCAGCTGAAGTATTACAAAACCAAGTAGTGTTGTGATACTGTAATTCATAACTCAAATTCTAAAGAAAATTGTCAGAAATACTATATTTTATGTTATATGCATATAATAGGCCTACTTGAATGTAATTCAACATTTCCGTAAGGCCAAAAATATTATTTGCACCCCACTTCACCTAAAATTGTTTATTTTGTAGATAACTGACCAACAAAAATACATTAAAATAAAGATACAAGTTATACAGAATGAAGTTTGTTACGAAAGAGCATTGTCACCCAACAAAATTAGGCTATATGAAGTGGTCAAAATTTGTTTCAACATTTCCTGTTGCTATTTTGGGTTTTTCATTTATCATATTTCAGTCTGTTCTTTGTATGTGGATTACTCAATTAGCTGGATTTGGTTATTGACGATTTGACACGATCCAGGATTATTTTGTTCTTCAAAACTCATCCGAGAGTTGTTGTCATAGCAATATAGGTCTGGTAGCTCAAACCTGCTCAGGAGCAGACTTGTGTCATGCAAAAAGGATTAGATCGGGTCTTTTCAAGCAAAGATAATACTGAAAGTATGTACCGAATGCTGACATTTTCCTACAGTAGTAAGCTTTAGGTTATATACATTTGGGAAAATAGTCAAATGGTTTTAAAAAAATGTTTATTTTTTTTATATTTATATTATATGCATATAAAAGTTTAATATATAGAATTAAAGTTAAATAAAAGTTTTAAAAAACATGCAAGTATAACTTATGCAATCTGCACTGCAAAATAAAAGTACAAAAACTGTCACGGCGGTGTTCTTTCCCCAAGGAGTTCAAAGAGAACATTTATTATTATGCACATTTTAGATACAAACGCATACTATTTTAAGGATTCAGCTTTAGTAGTACATTTTTTCTATATCATAATAGATAACAGGCACAATAATCAACTGTTTTTTTTTTGTTTGTTTGTTTGTTTGTTTAAAGGAATAATATAGTCAGTCATTACTATGTTTTGACAGCTAATATGCCAGTGATTTGATGCTTCGCAAAAGTTTCAGACACCTTCACCAATATCAAAATTCTTTTTTGATGCAGAATTAATTTAAACAGCCAGTTATTATGCTGATTAATCAATCCGCTCTAACTGTAAAACTAAATAAATTGATAAATACTTTTGACACATGAAAGTGTAAAGCCTGCAGCCCACAACAAATGTGTAGTTATTGCGTATCATATTTAACAAACCGTTTACTATGAATTTTATGTAATTTAGCTCACATGCTTGAATATTAATCAGATGATGTCGTTACCCTGCTGTGCCGTCAGCCAATCGCTGCATTGCTGATCATGAATTCGAGGATCATTAGATCAGTCCTTCACCACACATGCAGCGATCTCAGATCAGTTCATCCAGACATATTAATCTGATTAGCAATCTTGTTTGAAGAACCAAATTAGCCAGAAATCAGTTATCAAGATGCACAGATCCAGGATCTGCAAAATCATCTTAGACCATTTAAGTACGGTAAGAAGAACTGACCCTAGGTAAAAATCCAAAGTGATGCAAAATTTCACTTTGTGAGTCATCCTTTTAAAGAGATCGTTTTGGTTGTTGTAGCTACTAAATAGTATTAACAGGAACAGAAATGAACTGATTCAGATGTGCGTTCGAACCGGAGTGTTAGAAAACGTGCAATAGGCTACCATAAATGGTGCAAATTCTACAGTTTATAAAAATAAAAAAATGGTCTGTTGTTGCACAAACGTGACTATTTTAGCTACTTTTCCACATGCAACATTATCTATTGTAGATAAACCATTAATGACGATACTACCGTTTACAAACTTCAGTGGCACCGCCAGTATTTTGGAGCTATAGTATCGCAATACTACCATAGTACCGGTAAACCGTGCAACGCTATATCAAACCTTTTTCTAAACACAAAGGAAGATAATTTGAAGAAATCTGTAAGAACTGACTTCAGTAGTATTTCTTTTGGTTGCAGGTTTTCAGCTTTCCTCAAAGTATATTATTTTGTGTTTACCAGAATAAAAAAGCAAAAATTTGGAACCACTTAAAGAGTAAATGGTAAATTCTCATCATTAATCATCTCATTAATGAACACTTTTTGAATGTCTAAATATCAATAAATACTTATTATTATCACAGTAATTTCCTTACACCAATGGCAACTCGCATGCTTTACTACTTGAGCACCTCAGCTCTCATAGGACTAATTAAAGAAGCATTATATAGTCTAGTCAGTGTCGCAGTAATGAATCTGCTTCTTGAGCCCTCAGGAGAGCGTCATCTGTCATTACTGATCCAGTGCTGTGTGTTCATTACAGTTTATCAGTGCTCTTTAAGCTGAGTTTTTCATTTCCTCAGGGGTTCTGCCATTGCCAAGATAGTGGGCGCCAATGCAGCCAAATACAACACTTTTGAGAACACGGTGAACATGTGGGTGTTTGAGGAGATGATCAATGGACGCAAGCTCACCGAAATCATCAATACTGAACACGAAAACGTCAAATACCTGCCTGGACACAAGCTGCCACCTAATGTGGTGAGAATGAGAAGCTTGTTCATAGCAAACTTTTCTCTCTCTCTGGAACATAAAAATCAGTCATAAGTGTATTTTATTTTTTTTTTATGATTTATACGTCAAATGAAAGTTGATTAAATAAGCTTTTAACTGATGTCTAGTTTTAGGATTGTACATTACTTGGATGAGATATGAGTATTTGAGAATCTGAGGGTTTAAAAATATCTAAGTATTGAGAAAATCGCCTTCAAATTCAAAAAAGATAAGTTCATAGAAATATATATAACTAATCAAGAATAATTTTTTGATGTACTTACAGTTGGAAATGTACAAAATGTTTTATGTAAATTCTTTACTAAATGATAGATTTTTGACTCGTAGTCATTCGTATTTGGTATATATTTTTTATTAGTTAATAAAAATTAAATATCACAAGATATAAACCATTATTATTATATCCAGGGTGCAAATTCTACATTGACTTGATTGAGGGGGTCAACTTTTTCAGTAGTAGTTTGGTAATGCATGCCTTAGTGAATCAAATTTATGAATGTATTTGAATTACATCTAATTTATGAATAAAATGTATACATGTTCAGTGTTTTGAGGGATAGTTAGTGACTATTTTAGGCTACTGTCCCTACATATTTTAGAGCGGTAATCACAATACTGTAAAACTGCTTTTTTTATCCAAGGTTATCATACCGTCAGAAACTTAAACTGGCCAATGCCCATGTTAGAGTTAATCTGAGAAAAAACATATGAATAACAAGTTAACATGAGAAATTATTATTAGTACCATATTGGTTTTCTTAAAGATGGCAGTATTTATCTTGCAGCTTTCTAAAAAATTATTTAAAATGTCATGTATAAAGTCATAAAGAAAAAAAGTCTGATATTTTAGTTTGTATAATTTTCTCATTAAGTAATAAAATGTTATATCCAGCGGGCAATTTGTAGATAAACAATCGGGGGGGCTCAACTTTTCCGGTAGTAGGTTGGTAATGCATGCTTCAGTAAATCAAATGTATGAATGCATTTAAATTACTTCTCATTTATTAATTATATATGTATACATTTTAGGGATATTTTGTGATTATTTTAGAGGTTACAGTAGGTAAAATTAAGCATCTAATTTTTCTTTTTTTTTTTGACTATATGCAGATACACCTATTTTACAAGAAACGTGTTTTGTGAATACTTAAGATCGGTGCTCTAGAACTGCCTGTTTCAGACTGTTGAATCATATTTTTCCTAGCATTGATTGGAGCGATTATGCATTCACAATGGTATGAACCTTTATAGGAGGGGTCAAATGTACATTTATATTATACATTTTTAATAAACAATATTTAGGATATAAATCAGAGATCAGAGAAAGCTATTTCTTACTATTAACCCGCTGACCCTCCCCCCATACATCTTGTTTTGATGTTCTTCAGGGGGGGAATCAAGCGTTAATTAGGGGGATCAGCCCCTCCTCCCCCCCAAACCCCTGTTATTTGCTCCCTGGTTAGGTCACAATTCTAAGGAAAACAAAGCCACAATTACAGTTGAAGTTGCTTTCTTACAACTTTCTTACAAATCCAAGATTAAATCTCCTGAATTCTGATTTAATATTTCACAATTCCGTTTTTTGTCCACCATAAAATGGTTAATGTTTAATGTTTAAATTACAATTGCAGAAACCAGTATTCATAATAAACCCCATATTAAACGTGTTTTTCTCCTAAGTTGGCGGTTCCCGATCTGCTGGAGTCGGTGAAGGGTGCAGACATCCTCATCTTCGTCATCCCACACCAGTTTGTGTCTCGGATTTGTGACACAATCAAGGGCCACATTAAGCCGGACGCAGTGGGAATGTCCCTCATTAAGGTAAGTTTCCCCATTTATGCTTACCTGTTCTTCTGTGCAGTAAAGCTTGAGTTTATACCTGAGTTTATATCGATGTGTGTGTGTTTCGTAAGGGTGTGGATGAGGGTCCTGACGGGCTGAAACTGATTTCTGATGTCATTAGGGAGAAACTGGGCATCACCATGACTGTGCTGATGGGAGCCAATCTGGCCAATGAGGTCGCAGATGAGAAATTTTGTGAAACCACCATCGGTAAGTGTGCTGAAAAAATGCATCATTGCCACAATACACACAAATATGGTTAATGTTTTAAAATATCTTTACATTACTATTGTGTTTTAATGATGTCATAAGTGCACAAGATTAGTACTTTTTTGTTCATTAAATTCAAAGTAATATTTGCACACACTTTTGACCACATTATCAGACCCAAAAGTCCTGAAAAACACCTGTAGCCAATCAGCAGAAAGAGGCGTGTCTAGTACTGTAATTTTAACTGAGACATCAAAAAGGGGGGAGTTTTTATGGATGTTTGATTTGTAGTTTTGGTAATGTGTAAAATGTGGTAATGATGAAAAAAGTTTAATCTGTAGTTTTGATAATGTGTAAAAATGTGGTAATGACGTATTGTGTTGTGGAAATGATGAAAAAAGTTTAATCTGTAGTTTTGATAATGTGTAAAATGTGGTAATGACGTTTTGTGTTGTGGAAATGACGAAAAAAGTTTAATCTGTAGTTTTGATAATGTGTAAAATGTGGTAATGACGTTTTGTGTTGTGGTAATGACGAAAAAAGTTTAATCTGTAGTTTCGGTAATGTGTAAAATGTGGTAATGACGTTTTGTGTTGTGGAAATATAAATATATAGTTATATAATTTATATTTATAAAAGTGGTTTTCAGGGTGTGATAGACCTTAAAATGTCTTGGTCTCCTGAGCCCTTAAGGTCTCCAAAGTAATGCAAATTATCAGTTTCACAGCATGGCTGTATCTATTGTCTTCTTTGTCTCAAGAAAATCATTTGCACACTGTTGTAATGATAACATTTATCGTGAATGGGTACTTATATGTTGATGAGATCGGACCTGGAAAGGCATGGCACCCTGCAGACAACCACACTTCATTAGCATGCTTTCTTTGACTGTCCCCACCGTGACTGTCCCCACCTACATGTATCAAATGTATTTAAACTGCTCGTCTGTTGTAACAACTGAGAGTTTTCTTTCGATGACGCCACAGCCACGCTGAGTTCTTCTTATTACAAAGGATTCTGCTTTGAAGACAACCTAAAGTTCTCCCTGGTTTTTGGGCTCTTAGAAGTTTAAAACATGGTAATGACGATAAAAGTTTAATCTGTAGTATAGGTAATGTGTAAAATTGTGGTAATGACGAAAAAAGTTTAATCTGTAGTTTCAGTTATGTGGAAATTGTGGTAAGGACATATTGTGTTGTGGTGATGATAAAAACGTTTAATCTCTGCTTTCAGTAATGTGGAAAATGTGGTAATGACGAATTGTGTTGTGGTAATAACAATAAAGCTTATTCAGTAGTTTCAGTAATGTGTAAAATGTGGTATTAAAGTATTTTGTTGTGGTTATGATGAAAGGTTTAATCTGTAATTTCAGTGATGTGTAAAATGTTGTTATGAAGTATTGTGTTGTGGTCATAACAAAAAAGTTTAATTTGTAGTTTTGGTAATGTGTAAAATGTGGTAATGACATTGTGTTGTGATAATGTCAAAAAAGTTTAATCTGTAGTTTCAGTAATGTGTCAAATGTGGTTATGATGTATTGTGTTGTGGTAATGATGAAAAAAGTTTAATTTGTACTTTTGATGTGGTAATGATGTATTTAAGTTTAATCTGTAGTTTTGGTAATGTGAAAATTGTGGTAATGACGTATTGTGTTGTGATGAAGACGAAAAAAGTTTCATCTGTAGTTTCGGTTTTGTGGAAAATGTGGTAATGATGTAGTGTTGCGGTAAAGACGAAAAAAGTTTCATCTGTAGTTTCAGTAATGTGGAAAATGCAATGACGTATTGTGTTGTGATGATGAGAAAATTTTCATCTGTAGTTTTGGTAATGTGGATAATGTGGTAATGACATTGTGTTGTGGTAATGATGAAAAAAGTTTCATCTGTAGTTACAGTAATGTGTAATATGTGGTAATGACGTATTGTGTTGTGGTAATAATGAAAAAAGTTTATTTTTAGTTTTTGGTAATGTGAATAATGTGGTAATGACGTTTTGTGTTGTGGTAATGATGAAAAAAGTTCAATCTGTAGTTTCGGTAATGTGGAAAATGTGGTAATAAAATATTGTGTTGTGGTAATGATGAAAAAGTTTAATCTGTAGTTTCAGTAATGTGTAAAATGTGGAAATGACGTATGGTGTCAATGTAATCATGAAAAAACTTTTAATCATTAAATTTTCTTCAAATATTCAAGAATAATCTTGTGTTTAGGGTGTAAAAGCAAGCCTCACGGACCCCTTCTCAAAGAACTAATGCAAACGCAAAACTTCCGCGTGACTGTTGTGGAAGAGGCTGATGTTGTGGAGATCTGTGGAGCGCTAAAGGTAATACAACAATCCTTTTAAGCATTATTCTTGAATCTTCTATCTGTGTTTCATCGATGTGTTTGTGTTGTAGAATATTGTTGCCGTGGGCGCTGGTTTCTGTGACGGTCTGAGTTTCGGTGACAACACCAAAGCTGCTGTGATCCGTCTGGGTTTAATGGAAATGATCGCCTTCGCTCGGTTATTCTGCACAGCCAGTCCGGTTTCTCCCGCCACGTTTCTGGAAAGCTGTGGTGTCGCTGACCTCATCACTACCTGCTATGGAGGACGCAACCGCAAAGTCGGAGAAGCATTCGCAAGAACTGGAAAAGTATGTGTTTTTTGTTGTCTTTTCACCCAAAGTTTTTCATTTTATTGAACACACAGCTTTTCAAACCACACTGCTTTTGAATCAGTAGGAACCTTTTTGGTTATTGGTTAAAGGGGTCATATGATGTTGAAGGTCATGGTTTGACCTTCTATTGGTCTCACACAAACATGTGATGCGATTTTGCAGATCAGAGTTCACCAAGCTTGAACTTTTAAAAGCCGCGGTCACACTAGAGTTTGAGCATGCAAAATTCTTCCATATGGTGCTGCAAAAAGGGGTGGCATAAAACAAGATTATTATACATTAAAAAAGCATGTGATTGCTACATATTTTAAATTTCTGTATATGGTCATGTTTTGACCTTCTCTTGGTCTCCCACAATCATGTGATGCGATTTTACAGGTCAGAGTTCACCATGTTGAACTTTGCAATTCAGCAAGATCTGAAACTTGCCACACGACCTTGCAATTCCCGTCTGCTGCATTCACATCCATATGAATGGAAGTGCAGTGTGACCGCAGTGAAATGCGAAACTTGTTGCATGAGCTTGCGTTTCCAATCTACCATATTCGCATGCGTATGAATGGAAGTCAATGAGGCGAAAATTGCAATGTGACCTCGGCTTTTCTCTGAATAGACCATTGTGCTCTGATTGGCCAACCATCCAGTGCATTTTGATTGGCTTAATACATGTAGCATGTGACAGGCATGTTATGCCCCTTACCATATATGGTAAATAAGCTTCCAAAGCAATTCTGACAGGTGATGACATTGTTACTATCTGATTAACTCGAGGCTGATTCTGATTCTGATCTTAGATTACTAAGATTATTAACTCTGCAAGCATGATTTAAGCAGAACCAAACAGATTGTTAATGATTTATTTTACAAGTAAAGTAGTTTTGTATTCGCAATATAATGCATTGCATCTCCAAAACATATTGGCAGTGCCAAAAAAACTGCAGTGTTAAACCTAAGGCTTCCTTTCTTGCATTACATTTGCGTGTCTGAGACTTTAATCAAAATCATATCAAAATCAAGTTTGTCCTAAAACTATTGAACAACAACCATTCTTGTCTTTTTTTTTTTATCCTTTTTTGAATATTGACTACTATGTGTATGTTCTCTATGACCCCTTTAAAACATTTGATCTTAGATTTGAATCCCCTCCCTGCTGAAAAATCCAGCTTAAACCAGCCTAGGCTGGTTTAAGCTGGATTTTTCAGCAGGGCTCGTATCTGCATTCATCAATATGTTATTATAATCTTATACAATAATTTCACATTCTCTTAATTAGAATAAATCTGAAAATAAAGGTAGGGGTTATTCTTTTATTTTTTGATCTAATCGTTTAAGATGTGTGAAAGGAAGAGTTGGACAGAGATGAAGAATTAATGAGACTAAATGCCTTTGTCCTTCAGAGAGACATGCTGGAGTCTCTGTCCTGGTTTGTTTGTCCTGGTTTCTGCTGTATTTCTGCCAGTGCTGTTGGCAGTACTGTATGAACTGTTGGGATTATGAATGTTGAAAAGTACAAGCAGGTTTTAATCCATTATGCCATTCCCTCTAGAAAGCACTCATTGGTGCAGGCTTTATTTTTCAGTATAATAATGATTCCAAATACTCTGTTAACGCAATGAAATCATGTTAGAAATTGACCAAAAAAGAAAGATAAATCAGACTAAAAGCATTGTCAAAAAAATCATGAAAGGTACAATGGTTAGTAATGGAGTGTTAAGTGCACATTGGTTGTGTACTATTTTTTATAATTCAATAGACTGGATTGAATTATTTCACTTAAACTACGGTTTCCACAGCTAAAGCCACTGTTCAGAGGTTGTATTTCAGACATTTGTTAGGCATTTGTCCTCAAACTGCTCCTGTGGGCAGCACTAGCTCTCTTCCAAAGCTTTCTGTTGTGTTTTGATGTGACTGTTGTGGCTGTGAAATAACTGAAATCATTCAGCGTAGTGATATGGAGCTGTAATGCACTCAAAACTTGCCGGAACTACTTTAACTGTGTGTTGGTCTGAAAATAACGGCATCAGCCAATCAGAATCAAGCATTCAACAGCGCTGTAGTAGAAAAACATGGATATATAAATATTGTGCAAAAGTATTAACCCCCCAAATATACTGTTCTGATGGCGATTTCTCATCACGGACCCTTGTGTTTACATAAATACTGAAGTACAATTTTGGATTTATGATTAAAATCGACTGTTTGTGTGCATCACATAATATTTATGTTTATTGTTAGTCTATCGAGGAGCTTGAGAAGGAGATGCTGAACGGCCAGAAGCTTCAAGGTCCGGCAACCGCAGCAGAAGTTCATCAGATCCTCAAACACAAAAATCTGGTGGAAAAGTAAATATCTTTGCGCTTTTTTGTTTTCCATGCTTCAATATAACTTTATTAGTCTCATATTAAGTAATTTATGTTGACTTCCTCCACAGGTTCCCCCTGTTCAATGCAGTTTATCAGATCTGCTTCCAGAATCATCCGGTTAAAGAGTTCATCATGTGCCTACAGAATCATCCAGAACACATGTGAAAGTCTATTATGTTGGAGCTGTTTTCACACTAACAAAGTATTGTGTCTTAAATGTTGTAAATTATCAGTGTGTGAGATTTTATTTTGGGTAAAAGACATCAGAAGCACTGTAAATGAAGTCTTGCCTGCACACTTGCAAAGTATTTTCTTACATGTTTGTCATTTCAGAGCCAATGCTAAAGTGCCTTACAAGTTTAGTTTGTTTGTTAACATAATAAACACATTTTATTAACGCCTTGCATTGTGCATTTGTGAAGTTGTTTATTATGAAAACACTTAGAGAAGTGACTGAGGGTGAAGTTAGCATTGATTTCAATGTGTCTTGCTATTACTTTCTCCACACTGCTTCAGGAATGTGACCTTTACATCCGTCGTCTCTCTCTCTCTGACACATTCACCTTTAACATTTGAGATTCAACCTTTGACCTTTGATGAGAACAAGCAACTCCTGACCAAACTGCAGAGTGAAGCATTAAATGCTAATGTTTGCTAAACTGTACTGCTAAATATAGGCTTAATTACAACAGAAACTTGTTAAATGGATTTATATGCAATTTTTTTGTTCAATATAAGCTAAACATTGTCAGTTTTTACATTTAGACATTTTCAGGGTCTGTGTATTAAGTTTATTATTGTTAGCATTCAAATTCTTCAGCTTTCTCGAGAATCCTATTCCCGTCACTGAATGATAAAAAATAAAAAGTAATAACAATGATAATTTTTTTTCTCAAGTCAGAATTAATATACAATATAACAATAAAGTTAAAGAGTTATAAATTGATATGAAGTTATAAGATTCTAAATATACTCAGAATTGCGACTTTATAACTCAGAATTGCGACTTATTGACTCGGCATTCTGACTTTAACTCGCAATTCTGACTTTATAACTCACATTTCTGACTTATTAGGTCAGAATTGCAGCTTTATAACTCAAAATTCTGACTTTATAACTCACAATTCTGAATTTGTAACTCAGAATTCTGACTTTGTTATTTAGAATTCTGACTTTATAACTGGAATTTTGACTATAACTCAAATTCTGACTTTATAACTCACATTTCTGACTTAAGTCAGAATTACAGCTTTATAACTCAAATTCTAACTTTATAACTCGCAATTCTGAATTTGTAACTCAGAATTCTGACTTTGTTACTCAGAATTGTGACTTTTTAACTCAGAATTCTGGCTTTGTAACTCAATTTTGACTTTATAATTTTTTTTTTGTTAAAGGGGTGGTCCACTACAATATCATATATTAAACTTTAGTTGATGTGTAATGTAGCTGTGTGAACATAAACAGCATCTCTGAATGTAAAATGCTCAAAGTTCAATGCAAAGGGAGACCTTGATTTTTATAGTTATCTTAGCAAAGCCACAATGAACGAATCTTGTGAACTACAAAAAATACTTCCGCCCCCTGTGAGATCACAAAGGTTTGTTTACTGCGCACCCCACACTTTGCAGGTAAGAGCAGTGGCCAGAGGCGCTGTAATGTCACAGCAGAAAGAGGAAATGCCATCCTGCTATTTCCACAGAGCTTCTCTGTTTCTGTGTTTGGGCTTCCAAATGACACGATCCAAACACAGAATTGCTTCCAGTTCAATAGTAATTACCTTCCAGACAATTATAAATTACATAGCAAGCATGATTTGACAAAACGCAGCTTCCAGAATCTCTCCCTGTTCAGTGCTGGATTCGGCTAAAATCTCCTCAAAGATGAAGCAGCTACAAGGAGACGCTGTGAACTCTGAGCCACGACCTGTAAGTGTTTTTATTTGTTAAAATTGATCCTGACATGTACAATGTTTAGCCTTAACGGTATGTTGTAACAAAGATGTAAACAACGGGAAATGCTGTTCGCCACCGCCAACGATTTAGCTGCAAATCCATATTTATCAGTCAAACTGCTGTAAACACACACAAACACACACGCACTGCACATGCGTCTCTGTGTGAGACGGCGGTTTCTCTATCAGCAGCTTTTCCATGCGTTTTACATCTCAGACAATCAAGTCGCAAAAGATATGCAAACATATTCCGGATATGCGTGAAAGATGTTGTGTAACGCGTTGAGTTAAAAAAAAAATACAGCAATTCTCTCCCAACTGGAGTGTAACAGAAAAACAAATCAATTCAGGCTCAAACAGGTCTCATCCCACATCTTGTGCTTTATTCTGTCGCCAGCGTCACCACAGAAAATAACTTAATCCGAGCATGGGGGAAAAATAAAAATAAACATCTCTCCCGCACACATGCGCTTCTCGTGTTGGAGACAGTTCATAGTATACACACGCACAAACATAATGGCACACAAACACTCTTAAAGCGTCCAATTTTCACTCGTTAAAGACACTTGTTGACTATCTATCTATCTATCTATCTATCTATCTATCTATCTATCTATCTATCTATCTATCTATCTATCTATCTATCTATACATCTATACATACAAAATGCGCGTGCTTGTCCGGGCGTGACGTGGAGCCGATGCGCGAATCGCTGCATATTATGTCGATGACCAATCAAAGCCACTTGAGGGCGGGCCTTTCAGAGGAACTAGGAAATATGACAGTCGTTTTCATGTTAGCTGAGTAGCTGTGTATAATCAAAGTGAGATTTATAAAAAAATAACGCGATATCCTTCAAGTGAAACATGAGCACACATTGCTTTGCATCTTATTAACACAACTAAGCCTTAAAATTACATTCTGGACCACCACTTTAATTACATTTTTTTTTATCATTCAGTGGCGAGAACGGGCTTCCATAGCTTTCCCACTGTGAGAACAGTCAGCAGCTTATGTTTATGTCGCACCCTATCTGGTAAAAGTTTTTATTTTTGGAGATGTAATTTTCTGCGTTGGACACCAGAGAGCGATGGTGAGTTTGTGTTCAGGTTTTCATTAATATGTAACATAGCTGAGGTGTTAAACTCATTTCTTGAAGCGCTGCAGCTCTCCACAGTTTAGTTCCAACCCTAATTAAACACACCTGATCAAACTTATTGAGTCCTTTAGGCTTTTTTGAAACCTACCGGTAAGTGTGTTGGAACTAAACTGTGCAGGGTGGCGCTTCAGGGATTGAGTTTGACACCCCTGACATAGAGCCCATTGTGTTATACTGTAATAAAATACAGCAACATTAGTGTAGATTTAGGATGCAATGTAAATTCAGCTGTTTCTTGATTCAGTGAAGAAAGAATTCTGCATGAAACTGTTTTGTATTGTTTCTTTAAGGACGGGAACGAGAATATTACAAAGGCAGTTTCTTTTTCTGAGCTTTCATCTTCATCACAGGTAAGTATAGCATTGCTGACATCTAGTGGTTATGTCTAGCAATAGCACATATACACAGTTTTACTACGTCCCGTTTCTTTTAGATGTCAACTGCAGTGGTCAAGACCAGATGCTGGACTTTCCCTTACAAAAATGTCCTGTGGTATTTCAGGAGTACAAGATAAATTTACCACACAAAAAAAGCAAAGCTAAATATGACAGGATAACTACAGCACTTTCTGCAGTAGCCTACACTATTACAAGAATTTGCCATTAGATGAATGTGGTATTTCTTTTGTTTTTATGTGGTAATCCAACACAGCTACATATGACAGGATTACTACAGCACTTTCTGCAGTACAAGAATAAGCTTTTTTTATTCTGGCTTTTTCTAAAACATTATTTTCTCAGTGCAAGATAAAATCATAAATCCTTAAATCAGATTAGACCATTTGTATCTTGCTGCAGTTTCTCTTTAGTTCTTTGTTCTTTTTGAGTGTTGCTTATAGGGCTGCATGATTCTTGGAAAATATGTGATGCTGTTTCAATAACAACATTTCTTACAATATAACTTGCAAAACAGTATTATTATCAGCCATTAAAATCATTTATTTATTTAATGATCATAATAAATTAATAAAGTAACAGATTATTTTGTATCTAAAAAATATGTCAAGGTGCAAGCCATCTTACTTTTAAACCCCACGAATGACTGAAAACCTTGGCGCATATTCTGATTCTAGCTGTTGTCATCTTCCATATTTTCTCCCAGAATTATTTTCAGCTCTAGCTTCAGCTATTCTCGTCCAATTTATGTTTTGCACATGTTTTTTTTTTCTCCTGATGACAACAACAATGCTGCATATAATGATTAGAATAATAAACCATACAAATGTATTTTGTTTCTTCAAATCTAATAATAATGAAGAATCTGGGTTGTACATAGTAAATTGATATTAATAGATTTAGCCTTTTTACTTGTTGATTATCTAATCAAACTGTAATTTAAATTCTTAAATTTATTTAAATAAAATAAATACGTTGTCATCCAGTTCTAGTAGAAAAAAGCATGAAAACTTAAAAAAAAATAGTATAGGCCTAAATGAATACAATAATAATAGGCCTACAATATTTTAATTTTCACATATACATTGATCTATATGAAGTTATGTGTAGTTTTTGTAAATTGATGCACAGAGATGCATTTATTGATGGTATTCTGCGTCATATTCAATATAGTAATAAAAATACTGAATCTCAAATATCTTTTACACTGCACACACGACAAAGGTGAAAAAACCCAGAAAAAAAGCGCTGACTGATAATAAATGAGCAAACTTTTCTCCATTTTTTATCTTTTCGCAGGGTTTATTTTCTATTACTTTTGACCATTTGTTTTGCTGTAGTTTATGACAGAAAAGTTCTCATTTGGCCATCTTCATTTAATCTAGGCTTTAAAAGTTTGAGATGAAAGAGACTTTTCTTTTGTATGAAAACATCGCCCTCTGACATCGCCCACTACAGCGCGCGACTATGAGGATGGAGAGAGTTTCATTACCTTCACTCTAACTAGTAAAGTAGTCGTTTCAATCAGTTTTAGTCGTTATTTCGCGGAATCAAAGTTCATAATTGTTCAGAAAATGAACATGAATCATCGTTTTCTTTCACTCTATTTGCTGCTGTGTTTAGTGGTACATGAGAACGGTAAGACTTTTGCTTTTGTAAGTTATTCTGCTCCACAAGTTGTTTGTCGTGTTTCTGTTGTCTTGTTAAAAATTAAAGTTGAACGAGCTGTAGTTTTAGCTGCAGTCAAGTTTAAAAAGTCTAAGGAACCCCGGAAGGGACGTAGTGGAGGAGAAAAAAATTGTCTGGGTGAAAAAAAATAATGGGTGAAAGAAAAAAATGGGTGGGAGGAAAATATATATTTCTAAGTTTTTGCGTTCTCTCGCAAAGTTTTGCGTTCCCTCACGTAAACCCTCCCGTTTTGCCGAAATTCTGCCTTATTTTACCATTCTATCCCACTTTCTTTACATTAATACTGTGCGTCGATCGTCGCCTTTCATAAGCAACCCCTGAAGCAATGAATGCGTACAAGCGCATGATCATAGCCAACTACAAATGAGTAAGTTTTATTAGCGTTAATGAACATTTGCCTTTTCTTTGATTCAACTGAATAACCATTTAAACAAATATTGTGCGGACATACGTTCTCTTTAGATGTGTTGAAATTAAATGTTTAAATGTACAATTTTCAATGTAAAATAGTAAAGAACGAATAATAGAGAATATTCCCAGAATCAAAAAGGTTTTTATTTTCAGTAATGTTTTATATGTGTATTATGGTGCACAGCAGGTTCCAGTGCAGTAAATGCATGTACACAGTACAGACACACTCACAATGAAAGCAAATGAAATAGTGACAGAATAATAAAAAGCCAATAAAATGCAGTGTGATACAATGTAGGAGGAAAATACTAAAATTATATGATAAATAGATTTTAAGATGTACCTATAGGTACATTGTATAAACTTATATAGGTGTGACATTTGTTTGGAACATTTAGGTGACAATACTAGAGTTTAAGTCATTTAAATATGTTTGATTTATGAAATATTACAAAAGAATAATCTCTAAAAACAGCCTTGACCCTTAACGAGAAAAATAATCCTCAAAAAAAACAATTTGCACTGGTCGTTTGCTTATAGTTTTATACCTTAAGACTAAACGTTGTTGGACTTAGTGTGATGTTATATAACACAAATTAGTTGTCAAAATAAAATAATATATACAGTTGAAGTCAGAATCATTAGCCCCCTTTTTAATTTTTATTTTCGTTTTAAAATATTTCCCAAATGATTTTTAACAGAGCAAGGAAATTTTCACAGTATGGCTGATAATATTTTTTCTTCTGGAGAAAGTCTTATTTGTTTTATTTCGGCTAGAATAAAAGCATTTATTAATTTTTTAAAGAACATTTCTGGGACAAAATTATTAGCCCCTTTAAGCTAATTTTTTTTTTTCGATAATCTACAGATCAAACCATCGTTATACAATAACTTGACTAATTACCCTAACCTGCCTAGTTCACCTTATTAACCTAGTTAAGCCTTTTAATGTCACTTTAAGCTGTATAGAATATCTTTATGTATATAATAAAAACGGGCGCTAAAAATTCAGGGGGGGCTCATAATTCTGACTTCAGCTGTATATATAAATATTTTAAAAGTTGTAAACGTTTGTAAAAATTTTTTATTGAACTATTAATGAACTGCCCTTTTCTTCCAGGTGTGTCTGGTGTTGATAGAGAGGATGTGTTTGTGAGCAAGGGAGATTCAGTCACTCTACAGACGGGTGTTGAAACACACCAACAAGACAGAATTGTGTGGTTTTATGAAGGCATTCGCATCGCTGAACTCAGTGGAGATCTCAGTTATATCTGTACAGATGTTCAGTGTGGTGGAGGTGCTTACAGATTCAGAGACAGACTAAATCTGGACAGTCAAACTGGATCTCTGACCATCGTAAACACCAAATTTACAGATAGAGGAGAATATCAGATAATGATTAACAGCACCGGCGGCAGCAGCAGAGAAAAGATCTTCTACATTGTTTTTAATGGTGAGTCATTATGTTGAAAGAAACTCTTGTACATTTAAATCTCTTCATTAATGTGTTGATGATGTGTTTACTTGGTCAACCCTCGGTCCCTAATAATAAACAGGGCAATTCCAATAGGAACAAGCACATTTGGAGCTTAGTCCCTAATAATAATAATAATAAACAGGGCAATTCCAATAGGAACAAGCACATTTGGAGCTTAGTCCTTAATAATAATAATAATAAACGATGCAATTCCAATAGGAACAATAACATTTGGAGCTTAGTCCTTAATAATAATAATAATAAACGGAGCAATTCCAATAGGAACAAGCACATTTGGAGCTTAGTCCTTAATAATAATAATAATAAACGGAGCAATTCCAATAGGAACAAGCACATTTGGAGCTTAGTCCTTAATAATAATAATAATAAACACAGCAATTCTAGTAGGACCTACGCACCACCGGTGTGCGGTCCCTAAAAAATAATCATTTAACTTCATTTTCCTTTGGCATAGTCCCATATTTATCAGGGGTTGCCACAGCGGAATGAACTACCAACTATTTCAGCATATGTTTTACTCCGCGGATGCCCTTCAAGCCGCAACCCAGTACTGGGAAACACTCATACACTCATTCACACATGCATTCATACACTATGGCAAATTTAGTTAATCTAATTCATCAATAGCACATGTCTTTGGACTGTAGGGAATACCGGAGCACCTAGCGGAAACCCACACCAACACGGGAGAACATGCAAACTCATTCATTCATTTTCTTGTCGGCTTAGTCCCTTTATTAATCTGGGGTCGCCACAGCGGAATGAACCGCCAACTTATCCAGCAAGTTTTTTACGCAGCGGATGCCCTTTCAGCCGCAACCCTTCTCTGGGAAACATCCACACACACACTCATTCACTATGGACAATTTAGCCTACCCAATTCACCTGTACCGCATGTCTTTGGACTGTGGGGGAAACCGGAGCACCCGGAGAAAACCCACGTGAAGGCAGGGAGAACATGCAAACTTCCCACAGAAATGCCAACTGGCCCAGTCGGGACTCGAGCCAGCGACCTTCTTGCTGTGAAGCGATAGTGCTAACCACTAAGCCACTGTGCTGCCTAATAATAATAATGATAATAATAAACAGATCAATTCCAATAGGGCCTATGCATCTTCCCTAATAAACGGAGTTTATTTTTTTGTAATCTGATAGTCAAACCTCAGTGCATTGTTTATAGATAATTACCCCATTATTTTCCCTCTAGCGATGGCGCCTCGTTGGACCCAACCTAAAAAGATGAGAAGAAAGGTGCATGTTGCGCTGGCCAGCAAAACGGTGAAATTCCAATGTCAAGCTGAAGGAAACCCAAATCCCAAACTTCGCTGGCTGAAGAATGGAAAAGAGTTCAACAGTGACCAACGCACCGGCGGCTACACTGTATGATTATCAGTAGGGTTGGGTATCGTTTGGGGTTATTTCAATACCGGTGCTAAATCGATACTTTTAAAAAGGTACCGGAGCCAAAACGGTGTCTAAACAAACACTTTTGAGCCTTATAATTATTTAAAAAAAACTTTTTTTAAAAATAATTTTAATTGAACTATATAATTAAAGTTTAAAGTAAACATCAGTTCATATTTTATATATTTGTATTGCATTAATATATTTATTTTGATCATTTGGTTGTTAGCATGAATGCAAGATTTGCATATAGCAATTAAAATTACATCAGCTTATTACTAACCTGCGGAAAAGCTGTCTTCAAAATTAGAGAACTTTTTTTCTAGGGTTCATCAGTGATCTAACGATTTCCCTTAATCTATATAAGATTATTATATAATCAGGGTGTTTACATGAGTTGCTTTTTGAATGTTTCTTCATGATCCAGTTTTACATGTTATAGCACATAGATCCATTAACATTATTACGTCACCGCGCTAGACAGAGTTTCCTCTGAAGTTTCATGTCGTTTCGGGTGTTCCTTTTTTTATTTTCGGCTTTAATTAAATTTCGGCATTTTCACTTTCATTCAGGAACATTTCATTCATGTCCCTGTGACAAACTGAGTTATTTGATGCTAGTATTAAATAAGGACTGGTGGGAGTGATGTTTTAATGAAATTTGATATTGCACGACGAATAGGGTTGGGTATCGTTTGGTCTTATTTCAATACTAATGCTAAATTGATACTTTTAAAATGATACGGGTGCCAAAACGGTGCCTGAACCGATACTTTTGAGCCACAAAATTATGGTTGATGACTCTAGAAAAATCTTTTATTTGACAAAATATTTTTAAAAATATTAATTGAACAAAAGTTTGTCAAAAAGTAAACATCAATATGTATTTTATATATTTAAGTGACGTTGATATATTTCCTTTGATCATTTGCGGGCAGGGGCCACTTGTACTTTTGGTGGGCATGTAACATATATCACAAAATACTTAACTTATTTGTGGGTCATTTTTTTCATGCATCACTCTGCAGTCTTCATAAACAAGATAATTAAATAACTTAAACTCAAAACAATCTTCCTTGTTCATTTGTTAAGTAACTTTGTATTGGTGTAGGAGAACACATTTCTAACATTCAAGTGCATCAAGGCACATTGTAAACTTTAACAGATAGGCCTACAGTTGAAGTCAATTTATTTTGCCTTGCCATTCATTTAAAATAATGTTTCTGAAATTTTTCACAGTGTTTCCTAGAAAAAAAATTATTCTGGGGTCATAATAAGTCCTATTTCTTATTGCTTATTTTGTAAATAAAACAAGTTTTTAATTATAAAAAATAAGGTCAGTATTATTTTATTTATTTATTTTATTTACTTTATTTATTTATACAGGGACAATGTACAACATGACATGTTGTGCCAGAGTTAGCTATAAAGCTAATTTACATCTGTAGTCCCTGGGCAGGAAGTAACAAATTTAACACTTATAACAAATACAATATACACTTACAGTACAATAAATACAATACATCATTGTCAATAAAATGAAATCAAATCAGTGGCTGCATATTTGATTTTGTTTTAGCCGGATTTTAAGAACAGATTTAAAATGATTAAAAGTGCTGCTCTCTTTCATATACACTGGTATTTTATTCCATCTTTCTGCTGCTTTAACTGAAAAAACTGATTGTCCAAAAGCAGTTCTCTTAAGTTTAACTGAACAATCACCTCTAACAGATGACCTAGTCTGTCTTATATTGTCCTTGCCGACAATTACACATTGTTTGAGGGGTGGTGGTGCAAGACCATGAAATATTTTATACATTAAACACACATCAGCATAAAATAAGAAACTGTCAAATGTTAGTAATTTTTGTTGTGCAATACATTTGCAATGATGATAGCTCCTTGGCTTTTTAGCTAAAATTTTAACAGTTTGTTTATATATAACATACAATGGTTGTAATGTTGTAATGTTCGTATGCGACCAGCTTGTAGCACAATAAGATAAATGAGGTAAAATCATTGTATTCATAAAATGTTTAGCAGCAGCCATAGGTAACTGATGCCTAATGTTTCTACAGATCCTCAGGCTTGCTCTAGCACTTTTGGAAACCTTCTTAATGTGTTTTTTAAAATTTAAATTGGAGTCAATAATTATACCTAAATATTTAAAATGATCAACAATATTTATTACTTCTCCATTAACTAAAATATCTGAGCAGTGCTCCTCATTTTTCTTAATTGAAAAAAACATTCCCACAGTTTTACATTGAGGGTAAGACATGAACGATATAATTATTAGCCTCCTTAAGAAATATTTACTGTATATTTTTAATTTACACAACAAATCAGTTACAAAATAATTTGACTAATTATTCCAGCTTTTGTAGTTAACTGATTAAGTCTTTAAATGACACTTTAATCTGGATAAAAGACTATAAAATACTTAAACGGGCTTTGTCTGAATACAACCATCTTGCGAAATAACTAGTAAAATGTTTTGAACTGACTGTCAACATGGGGAAGATAAAACAAGACGGAAATCAAAAATGAATGAAGGCAAAACTAAACGAGTCGAATATGACTTACATGAGCGTGACTGAAAACTACATTTGATCAATGTCTTACATCTGTTCTTTGGTACTTGCCGACTGTTTGTAAATTGAAGACTGCATTTCCTAACATAACACTATCTTCACTAGATTTCTGATTAATAATGGTTTCTGCATAGCCGAGCTCTTTCTATCTCTTTTCCACAACCAACATACTGAATTTAAAGTCTTAGGTTCATGCAGACTTGTGAGACTGCAGTAAGAGCAAGCGCCGTCAGAAACATTGAAAATACTGTATACATTTCCATTTTTTAAGACATGGCGCGAAACAATGTAATTTAATGCAGTGTTTCTTGTTTGGTCTGATACCTACTTTATATTGTATATCAATCGAACAGTGAAGATCAGATTTTTGAAAAAACAAGTTTTAAATGTGGCAGTTTTGTTATGGCCTGACAGTTCACCAGAATCGATCAGGATGGCTGACTGAAAATTAAAAGTCTGTTGTGCGTATACCCCATTGTGATTGGATCACTGTGAAAACGCATGTTCATATTAGGTCATAATAGGGCCTGAGAGATTTACTTATTGAATTATGCACGTAAACATTGTGAATGTGTTATTTTTAAGAAAATTTTTTTATCCATTCCCAGCTGTGGGAAAACACATGGGCCATAGTCATGGAGTCGGTGGTGCCCTCAGACAAGGGCAACTACACGTGCCTGGTGGAGAACGAATACGGGAGCATCAACCACACCTATCAGCTGGATGTATGGGGTCAGTAACAACTCAGTTTTAACCATTGACATTTTAGCAATTAATATCACAATAGACTCTTCACATTTCCGGGTTTCTCAGCAGTGGAAGTTGTCAAAGTTGGCTAACTCAGAGCGCAGTGAATGGGAGTACAACATATAATTTTTTTTACAATCCTATTGGCTAAAATAATGAAAGAAAAACTCCACAATGGTGTTATCAAGACTTTTAGAAGCAGGAAAGAAATAGTGTGAGACTTATAACTGCAGCCAGAAGAGAAAACAACGTCAAATTTACTGTCCTGCCCCCATAGACGCTGCATTAGAAACACCTTTCATACGTGGTAATTTGTTTTTTGTTACTTGATGTAAAGATGATGGGCCCTATCATACACCCGGCGCAGTGTGGCGCAAGACACGGCGCAGTAGTCTATTGGTAGTTTCAGCTTGGCGCAAGAGTCGTTTTGAGGCGTTGCGCTACGCTGTTTAAATAGCAAATGCATTAGCGCTCATTTGTGCGCCCATAGGCGTTCTGGTCTAAAAAGGAAGGCGTTCTGAGGCGGACCGCTGGTGTAGCGCCCTCACCGCCTGATGAGGGACAATAATGTTAATAAAAACACAGGAAACACGGAGCTGCTGCTGCTTCACGTCAGAGTCTGTGTATTGTTTTTTAAAATGAATGCACTTAAAAGTATACTTTCACATTGTAGAACAACATATGTAAACATCTTCACAGATATTATATATATACACATATCACAAAATAATCACATACATATTCCCTGCACATTACTGTTATAAATTACTATAAAGTAATTATATGATTCTTCCTAAATAAACTATTCACAGTTTAATTATTCTATAACACACACAAAGGCATATAACCGACCTACACATATATCTCTCTTTATATATACATTGTAACCAACTATGGGAAATAATAGCACTTTGTGACTTTATAATTACTTTTGTAACAATAGTCCCTTTGTTAGTTGTTATGTTGATACATATAATATACATTCACTTGACCGTTTCTTCAGTTGGCATTTAAATCATCACTGTTGCCGTTGGAATTACAGTGCAGAGCGTATATATATATATACAGTTAATACGAACTCTTATATATATTAATATACACTATCAGGTTCATTTAATAGATGACACTTGTTGCTTTTATATCTCTAAAGTATATTCAACACATTTTGATAACGATTTCAATATTTCATACCTGATAAGGGACAATAATGTTAATAAAAACACAGGAAACATGTTATTATTATTAGCAGTATTATTTAATATATCCATATTTATATTTGTTTTATTAAAAACAAGCTTAGATTTGCCCACCTGTCAGGTTTTAGACCATATGGGGCATGGCAGGTGTATTTGGAAATAACTCAGTATTTTGACCACACTTGGTCATTATTGTTCATTTATTCATTTGCTAGAAATTAGAACTGAATTTAGAAATAGTTTTGAAACAAATCTTTGCGCTTAACAAACAAAATTAATTATTTATAGACTAATTGATGTCTGTGTGTAAAGGTTTCCCTATCCAAGAGCGAATGTGAAAGTAGTTCCATTATCTCTCATTCTCACGCAGTAGATGCTCTGTTTAACAGTTTTTTTTGTTAAAAAACTGTCAACTGTTAACTGTTTGCTTGTGAAATGCTAATTTTTTCCACTTAGACTTACTTTGCGTCCTGTAAATAGCGGATGCGCTCTTGGCGCGACGCAGCTGGGTCTTTAAGGGAATGGGAGATGAGACTCTAATTGGTTTATTCTCAAAACACACCTATAACTCATTAAGAAAATAAACTCAACCCTTTTAGCCCATTCGCCTTGGCGCAAATCAGGTTTTCCCGTCCGTAAATTAGCAAAAATGCGTTCTGACACGCCCTGAAAGCGTTTGCGCCCTGCGTTTTGCGCTCTGCGCATGGACCGTCAAAATAGAGCCCGATATATTAATTCATTCATTTTCTTGTCGGCTTAGTCCCTTTATTAATCTGGTGTCACTACAGCGGAATGTACCGCCTACTTATCCAGCAAGTTTTTTACGCAGCGGATGCCCTTCCAGCCGCAACCCATCTCTGGGAAACATCCACACACACATTCACACACACTAATACACAACGGACAATTTAGCCTACTCAATTCACCTGTACCGCATGTCTTTGGACTGTGGGGGAAACCGGAGCACCCGGAGGAAACCCACGCGAAGGCAGGGAGAACATGCAAACTCCACACAGAAACACCAACTGAGCCGTGGTTCGACCCAGCGACCTTCTTGCTGTGAGGCGACAGCACTACCTACTGCACCACTGCCTCGCCTGTAAAGATGATATAATACATACATAAAAACACATAATTGTTCATATGTAAAAAAAAAATCTAAATATTAAAAACGTTCAAGGATTTAAGATGCTGATGACTGATAAACACGTCATGACAGTCTTGTGAAAATGGTCCATTAAATCCAACCATCTCCTCTCTTTGTGCACATTGCAGAGTCATCGCCTGAGAGACCCATCCTATACGCTGGACTTCCTGCAAACCGAACGGCCATGGTCGGCAGTGACGTAGAGTTTGTGTGCAAAGTAATAAACGATTCTCAATCTTACATCCAATGGATCAAACACATCAGGGTAAACGGAAGCCAAGAAGGACCGGACGGAATCCCTTACGTGCGCGTACTAAAGGTAAACGTTTCAACTTGAGGTGCAGTCAGAATGCTTAATTCTGGTGATCCACATGTTTAAGCGTGTACATGGTTGCCTTGATCTGTGACTGGCCACAGTTGTTTCCCCTCCCCTCTCCCTTAACAGCCTGCCCTCAGGTTGCATTTTTACTTTCCAAGCACACTTGATGAGTGTCATCAATGCAACTGTTTTGAAGAAAACAGGAAGAGAAGCAACCTTGGCCAGTGCAGTGTAGATTTCTTTAGTTACATTGTTGAGGGACACAGTTACACAATGCCGAATATCTTGTTGAACAGATTTACCACTTTTGACGCTCATCAATTTTCGTAAAATTCCATGTGCTGCACAAATTAGGAGGTTTGCTAAAGCTGGCAGCTGAAGTGCAGTGAGGAGTTTGCATCTTTGTTTAACTTGTAAGATCCAGCCAGTTAGTCCAATGATGGTATCCACTGGTGGACGAAGGTTCACGGCGCGTGCGGTCTCTCCAGTGCACAATGTTGAATGAATTTAATTTAACTCATGTATGACTCCCATTTTAATCCAGCAAAACGCCAAAGGAGAGTCCAGACAAGACAAGAGAAACAAGAGAACAAACAATAACGAACTGACAACTGTTGTGGAAAGTTGTGCTGGATCTCGACAAACATTTTCTAGGTTTCGAAAAAAGAAGCTGAGGTCTTCGAAGTTCTTAAGTTGAAGCAGTTTCATGTTACGGCAGAGTTGGTCGATCGATCTCTCTCCTACCAATGCTCAAAAACCCACAGTTTATATACAGTTTTTTCTCATAGTCATCATGAGAAGTGGTTTAGCATTATGACATTTCCCAGCTCCAATAGGATCCTAGCTTTTTAATTAATGGCTGTATGTTTTTCTGTTTTTACATATCTTAAAGGTCATATAGCATGTGCTTACCATCATGTGTTTGCACATGATCATGTTGTTTCCATACTTTCTGAATGATTCTCCTTATATATGCTATTTTGTCGAGGGTTGTTTTTGTCTTGGTCAATACATACATGTGTCTAAATGTATTGCATATGTAGTCTGAATGTTCTTACTTCGCCGCATGACCTGCCATGCCTCAAGGCCGTTAGGCCCTCAATTATAAGGCCCTGCATGTCTGTGTGTTTTCGTCAATTATAAGGCCCTGCATGTCTGTGTGTTTTCCTCTGCATCACTTGAATGTATTTCTGTAAGTTTTAACAGTGTATTTTAATAAGAATCTTTATTTTAATAGTGGCAGATTATATAGTGATTACATAATAAAAGTATATGCATAAGAAATACTCCTATACAACAAAGCAAAGAGTTGCCGCTCAGATATAGGTGCGGAAACTAACCGCTGCTGATCGGCGTTGGGCAATGAAACATGTGATCGCAACACAGAAACGCAGCAATAAAATCGACATGGAGTAAAGCAAAACATAAACAGGTGATAACACAGACAACCACAGAAAGAGTTCTCACATCTACATCAGTGACAAAAAATGCATCTTATAACCTTTGGATACATTTTCCCCCTTTATTTAAAAATATGGTGATTTATCGTGGAGGTTTTTTTTTTTTTGTCATGTATCAATATATCGTAGGATCACATATATCACAGAATGTCATTATCAGGGGCAAAATATTGTATCGTGAGTTATCCTTTGATTCCAACCCCTATTGGATACCCTGGTGTAAGTACACCCCTAGGATACCATGTATTGGGATTAGATGTCATGCATTTGGTCTCTTGTTGTCCTCAGCACTCATGCTTCAATGGCTCGGACACTTAGGTGCTGACAATATCTCAGAAGAAGTGGGCGACGAATATGTATGCAAAGTGTCCAATTATATAGGAGAAGCAAATCAGTCAGCCACTTGACCACAGGCTATTTCGAAATGATCTCTAGGCGTTTTTGATTTGGGGTTTATCTCAATCTTTTGGGTTTTTCCTATCCCATAATGCCGTGGAAACTCCCTGTCGGCCCAATTAATAGATTGGGTCTTGCTGGAGGGAATTTACATGTGGCTTGCCTAAAGGTAGATTGAGGGTGATGGTGCTGGGAAGAGATTTTTGGCCTCTCTACAGGTGATGAAAAGATTTCTGTGCTTTAGGAGCACCAGATGCAATGTCTCCCCTAATCTCTTCAAGCTTTTTCATCCCTTCCCCTCTGGGTCTCGGGTCTGCTTTTCTCGTTCTCTTCCAGATGGCTGACCTCAGCACCACCGACAAGGAGATAGAAGTAGTGCTCCAGTTGAGGAATGTGTCGCTTGAGGATGCTGGGCAGTATACTTGCTTGGTGGACAATTCTATCGGTATCTCCCATAAATCTGCATGGTTGACCGTTGTCAAAGGTATCCGGCGATTCTTTCTTCTCCTCTCTAGCGTTTCTCAATCCCAGTCCTTGCGTCTGCATATTTTACATGTCTCTCTTATTTAACACACCTGATTTAGATAACCAGCTCATCAGAAGAGCTCCATGCACGGACTGTGCTCTGAGTGACAGAGTCCCTACATTATTCCTTAGTACCTTCTCCTTCATTTCTCTCTACCAGAGCACGAGAACTTTTATTTCACTTCTGAACATTCATTCACAGATTTACAAAACGACATTGCTTGCAGTGTCTTCTTACATAAAGAAGCATGCATGTGTTACATTTTAGTCCCTTTTCTAGGGGAACGGAGACAAAAGTAACAAAAAAAATTAATTAGGATAAAAAAATATATATATATCAAATTTTAATTGGATCGAATTAATAATAAATTAATATTTAATAATGTGCGTGGAGAATCTCCTTTTTCTCTATCCCAGCATACGTTCACTTTAGATATAATAATAACAAAAAAATTTTTTTTTTACATTTCCAGACAGGGTAAACAAAAACAAAGAGATACGTAAATGAAAATTATCCTAACCAAAATCATTATGAGAGGGTAAGGCCAAAATAACCAACAAAACAAAAGCTTCCTAAATTGACAAAAAGTTCTAGATTTCCTAATATATATATATAAAGAAAACTCAAAATCAATGACGATGCTCTTACCCCACAACCTGGCTAAATCAAGTGTGCCGCAAGCCTACGTTTGAGTGAAGGTTTCGGCCGTTAGATCGCCCCCTGGGGGCTGGCTGCAGTACAAGTCATAAAGCCCGCCTACTCCATGTTAATGAAGGAGACTTAAGCCCAAATAAAAAAAATATTACACTTGCAATAAAATGTCCCGAAAGATAGTTCTGGTCGATTAAGGCACTGGTTATTGTGCTGAAATAGGTGCAGATCTTCATTTTTGTAAACAGTTTGTTTTTAGCAGTAATTTAATGCTGGGCGTGTCATCGTGATTGACAGCTGTGATTGACAGTTTCTCAAAGCGCGGCGTCTGAGCTTCGGCAGGAGACTGAAGTGTTATTATTCGATTTCTGTGTTATTTTACCATGACAAAATGAGTTCAGCAGTAAACTATAGTTTCTGACATACATGATCCTGGTGGAACACTGTTTATTCGCTAAGTTCAGGGCTTTTTTCGGGCTTTATTAGTTTGCTGATACACGCCTAGCCACCCAGATAGCAAAACACAGTTCCGGCTAGATTCTCGCCTGCCGGAGACTTATCTCTTAGAGCTCAGACTGACTAATGTTACCTCTGCTGGACCTACTCCGGATGCCTGGACTCACTACCCAATTCCAGCCCGAGTCAATCGAGCCAGATGCGGCGGCCGAGCGAGCAGGCGCTGCCGCATGCGAGCCGGAATCAGCCAGCGACGCCGCGAGTAAGTTATGTGTTGCGGCCTGGAGCTGGCGCGATTGAATATATAAAACCCTCATATTTGTTAACGTTATTACATCCATTTGTGTTGATATGACAGCAAACGCATGCTGAGAAGTTCGGGGGGCGTAGTTGATTTTACATAAAGCGTTTGATTGGAAGCTCGACTCTGCTCATTTTCGCGGCTCCTCCTCTGGCTCCATCAGACAATCCTTCTGCGCATGTCTGGCTCCAATTTCAGCAGTCTTTTGCGACAGTTTGTGCCTGTCAAGCAGGCGTTTTGCCCTCAAGGCGTTCAATGGGAAAAAGGGCTGTCGCGTCGTCCATATTTTTTACAGTCATTGGGCTAAATCCAGAAAAAGGAGGAAACTTAAAGGATAAACCCAAAATAAATCAGCACTTGTCTCTCTACACGGCTTACTTTTCACATAAAGTTACACGTCACACTTATTCACACTATAATCTCACAAGTTTCACAAGCTCACAGTTGTAAATATCCAACAAAATTTCTATCACACTAAAATCACTGGGTTAGGGAAAACAGGGACTCTCTCCGTGCTTTGCCGCTCTGCCTCTTTATAAAGCCTGGAAGCTCAATCAACAGCAACCGATCCGATTTGCTCTGATTGAAAACAGGTGCGGCTGGTTTGGAACGCTGCTCAATGAGAGAGAGAGAGGCAGAGAGACAGAGATAGAGAGAGCGATTAATAAAACAAAAGGGAAGAGCAATAAGCTGCCACTCACACCAACAACTTATTACCTAAATACATCATAGGATGTAACACATGACATACCTCCATAATTAAATAAAATATGAATTCTCCTATCACTCGCTAAAGTTCCAATTGAAGGATACCTAGATGCTCCCTTCAAAATGAAATCATAGTGGAATATCCTGTGGAGTCCACTTTGCAGGGTGTCTATAGTAAAAAGAGAAACATACAAAATGCGCAGTGAGGAGTGTCACAAGTACCGGGATTGAGAAACACTGCTCTAGACCTTCCCTCCTCATCCAACAGTGCTCATTTAGTAGTGTCATCTGCCAGTTCCAGGTGAACCACAGTTAAGTAAAAGAGCATTTACTGAAAAAGGCAGAGGTGTTTCATAGGAAGGTGTGTGGCTGTCCGCAGGTCCAAAACCACCCATGAATGGCAAGCAGACTAAACCTTTAGATCTCGTTGACATCTTCCCCTATAGAAGTATGATCAGGATCATGGGTTCACTTCCCTGGCAAATGACACTAGTTATGGCACCTCCTCTGCTTTTTTTCTTCGATATCCTTCATTTTCATTTTACCTCACGATATCTTTGTTGTTTTAATGGTTAGTGCCCACCAAGTTACTTTTACTCAGACTATGCTCAGTCTTAAACTATGAGAACTCTTTGCACAAATAAAAAGCGCTATTCCAAATTCATGTAAACCATGCCAGGAGTATACAATCCTGCTCTTGTAAAGCAAATGTAGATCAAATTAGCTTTATTCAGCTTCAGCACACTTGTCTGTAAGTTTCTAGTTAGCCTTGACTCGCTGGTTCAGGTGTATGGACACATGACATGCAAGAAGCATGAAGTTGCCGGCAGCTAGCTCTCTGCAACTCTCACATGGACGCCCACTGAAGCTAAGCAGGGCTGCGCCCGGTCAGTACCTGAATGGGAGACCACACGGGAAAGCTAGGTTGCTGTCGGAAGTGGTGTTAGTGAGGCCAGCAGGGGGCGCTCAACCTGCAGTCTGTGTGGGTCCTAATGCCCCAGTATAGTGACGGGGATGCTATACTGCTCAGTGAGCGCCGTCTTTCGGATGAGACATTAAACCGAGGTCCCGACTCTCTTTGGTCGTTTAAAATCCCAGGATGTCCTTCGAAAAGAGTAGGGGTTTAACCCCGGCATCCTGGCCAAATCTGCCCACTGGCCTCTGTCCATCATGTCCTCCTAACCATCCCCATATTCAATTGGCTTCATCCCTGTCTCCGCTCCACCAATCAGCTGGTGTGTGGTGTGCGGTCTGGAGCAAAATGGCTGCTGTCGCGACATCCAGGTGGATACTGCACACTGGTGGTGGATGAGGAGATCCCCCCCATTGTGTAAAGCGCTTTGAGTGCGCTTTACACATAAAGCGCTTTATCATATGTCATCGCGATCTCTTGCTTCATATGAGATCAGATGATTGTGACTGCTGTAGTTATTCCAGTTGTGTTATTTTTAGGTATTTATTTTCAGGAAATCACTGAAGGCATATATTATGTTATCATAATAATTGGCCAGGATGCCGGGGTTAAACCCCTACTCTTTTCGAATTACATCCTGGGATTTTTAATGACTCGGTTTAATGTCTCATCCGAAAGACAGCGTTTACTGAGCAGTGTAGTGTCTGCTGGTCTCACTAACACCACTTCTGGCAGCAACCTAGCTTTCCCGTGTGGTCTCCCATCCAGGTACTGACCGGGCCCAGCCCTGTTTGGCTTCAGTGGGCGACCATGTGAGAGTTGCAGAGAGCTAGCTGCAGGCTCAAAATCAAAAGCATCTGGAGGAAACCCAAAATTGACCTTTTGCTAAGCCCTGCCTTCCTTGGTTACTGTTGCTAAGCCAGTCAAACTTTCACATCTGGCAAGTTTATTACAGCAAGATTGCACCAGTGTCAGACATTCCCAAGGAGGTAACTACTAGTGTTTGGCAAACAGGTGAGATATCTGAGAAAACAAGCCAAAAAAGGACTGCATATGCATTAGAGGGGTATATCCACGACATAATATGCAACCGGTTACAAACTAATTTAAGAAAAATTTTAATTTTAAAAAAGTGCAAGCAGCACGCTGAACATTCAACAACTTAGTTCATGCAAATTTTAAAATAATATTTATAAATTAAACCATAATTTCTCTTTTTTTACTTCTAAAAAGCTGGATAAGCTAATTGTTGTGCAATAAAAAATAGCGTTAAAAGGACATTATGGTTTTAAATGACTGAAAAACAGATGCTGGTGCAGTATATGGATCGCAAATGCTCACAATTCACAGTTTGTGATCTTATCTTAGTTTTGTTCTGTTGATATGTGATCCAGATATTCATAACTTGAAAGATGGAAAAAAACATCAACATAAAAACATAACAATAAAAGTGATGTGAATATTTATTTCTCTGCTTTTGGTGTTTTCTGTGCTGATACAGATGCAGAGCCAGTATCAGTGAAGGAGGGAGATTCAGTCACTCTACACACGGGTGTTAAAACAAACCAACAAGATGATGTTAAATGGTATTTTAACAACATTACCATTGTTGAAATCACTGGAGATCAGAGTAAAATTTGTGAAGATTATCGGTGTAAAGAGAGATTTAGAGACAGACTGAAGCTGGATCATCAGACTGGATCTCTGACCATCTTTGACATCAGAAACACAGACTCTGGATACTACCAGCTGATAGTCCTCAACACCGTGAAGAGTTTCAATGTTTCTGTAACAAGTGAGTATTACTGAGTGATGATTATTTCTCAATATTTTCATCTTTGGTCTCATAATAACAAGCGAGATCTGTCTGTCTCACAGATATTTTACTCTTGTAATCTTGACATGAATCATATGAATTCTCTGTGGTCAATGAAAAACACTCAGCACTTTTTTTTTCATACATAATGTTTTTGTTTGATTGCCAGATTGCCAGTGTTTGTGATGGAGGGAGATTCACTCACTTCACTCACTGACGTGAAAATGAACCAACTCCCCGATGGGAATTTCAGTACAATCACATCAAATCATTGAATATCAGTGGTTTGTTCTGTAGACAATCGAAAAAATATATAGCTAAAGGGAGGTAAAAATATTGACCTTACAATGCCAAAATAAAACAAAATAAGACTTTCTGCAGAGGAAAAAACTTTATTGGAAACACTGTGAAATATTCCTTGCTTTGTTAAACATCATTTGGGAAATATTTATAAAGAAAAAAATTAAATAAAAGGGGCAGAATAATTCTGACTTCAACTATATATATATATATATATATATATATATATATATATATATATATATATATATATATATATACACACACAACAGTTCTGTCTGGTTCTCAAATCTGATTGGCTGATAGCCGTGCAATATTCTGCAATATCAGAACTCCTACAGCCTCTTTACACTTATGTATTACTCCGCCCACATACAGCCAGCAAAAGGCAGACACTACAGATCTAAAGTTTAAAAGATGCACGCTCAACTGTTTAACTGTCAGCTTATGATTTCAATCCAATGTGGAAGAAAGTAGTTCCACATACAAAAGGGTTTTTAAAACTCTCTGTGTTGGATTTTGTGTTTATATACACAATTATGCCGTCAAACTGTTGTATAAACGCAATATCACACTCGAAGCAGGCGACCTGTGGCCGCCTCCCACCAGTGCCGATATACAGCCATATCGCACTGCTACTCATGTGATATTGCTCATATATATAGGGCGAGGCAGTGGCGCAGTAGGTAGTGGGTAGCAAGAAGGTCGCTGCTTGTATATTGTATTACATTATATTTATTATAGGATTAGGATTGGCTTCACCTGAATAGCACTGCAGTATTTCTTAACCTGGCACTGTGATGTACGACCACACCAGGTTATTCACTGATGAAAGAAATAACATACAACTGATGACCAGAGTTTAAAGGTGTAAATGTTGAACAAAAGGAATAATGATCATCTGTGTTTATATTTCCAGATCCAGCTCTTCCTCCAGCTGTTGTAGCAGGAATATGTGCTGTTGTTCTGTTTGTTGCAGCAGCTGCTGCTGGGATTTTCTATTTAAAACTCCAAGCAACTGGAAAAGGTGAGCTGAAATATAAGCTCCATTTTATGAATAAATTATTTTAAGTAATGCGTTTAATGCTGATTTTGTTTAAACAGCCATCGGATGGAGGACTGAGCACAGTGATAACGGTTCACCCACTGGCCATCGGTGAGCATCTGTTCCTGTCTGGTTTGTTTGGTTTGTTCCACACTTGTGAGGGTAAAGTTTAGTGTTGGAGTACTTGAACTTGGACTCAGACTCGAGTCCAGACTCCAATTTTGATTGGACTTGGACTTTTCACAGACTCAGGTGAACTTGTACTCGGACTTAACTTAGACTTGGACATTTTGGACTCAGAAAATATCATGAGTACAGTAAAGTCCACATCATCCACAACACAAATAAAGAGATTAAAAATTAATAAATAAGAGCATGAAATTATAACAAGAATTTAGCGAACTCTCTGGCTGCCAGCATTTATTTCCGCCACTGCACCGCACCGGCAGGCAGCGGTAGCCTGTCTTTTCCTTAAACTTGTAACCAGAAATAGCCATATCACACAATTCGTGGCTAGGTCTAGGACAATGCCTTTAAAATCAGCAATAATTTGTTTTGCTTATGAAAATCATAGATAATTTATTTGCAAGTCACTTCAACCAACTAGAACGACTTCTATCGACATGTTGAAAGAAAACATAAAGAAAGGTAGGAGCTTATTTTTTAAAATTGTATATTCATATCGTAGTGACGATGTTCATTCATAGTGTACATCAGGGGTGGCCAACCCTGTTCCTGGAGAGCCACCTTCCTGCAGATTTCAGTTGCAACCAGTATTAAACACACCTGCCTGTAGTTATCACATGTGTTCAGGTCCTAATTAATTGGTTCAGGTGTGTTTGATATGGGTAGCAACTGAAATCTGCAGGAAGGTGGCTCTCCAGGAACAGGATTGGCCACCCCTGGTGTAGATATTAGCCCCTTTCACACAGTGATACCGGTAAATATCTGGAAAATTTCCGGAACGACTTTACCGGTATATTCAAAAAAACGCTGTTCACACAGGCGAGGACGTTACGGAAATTTTCCGGAAAAGAGCATTCACACATCCATTCCAAAATACCGGTAAATTCTGACATCATTCACCACAAATGAGCTTTAAACGGCTGCGCTTGTATTTGTAAACATTTGACTAAATTACAAACTCTGTGGTTGATCATTATTGTGAACAACTTTCGCAGGATCACTTTCGCATGTCGAGATGTTCATAATATGTGCAAGCTGTTTCACAGGTACACGCAAAGCTTGAAGGTAAACAAACAACGGCTTATCATAGGCATATCATCGATGATTATTTACAGTTGGCATTAAGAAGAACATTTAAACGTGATCTGACTAACTTCTAGCAGCTAAATGTGTCTGGAAAAATATTCAAAGGTTTTTATTCTCACAAACCGCGCGGACGTAAATGCGTCTGACTGTTGTGATTGGCTAAAGCAGACGTCTCACGTCACCACGTTCTAGACGTGCACGCGCTTATTCCGGCAATCTTCCTTCTGCATTAACACAGCGCAGCATTCCGGCAAAATACCGCTAATGTTACAACTTCTCTTTCCGGAAAATAGCCAGAACAAATTTACCGGTATTTTCGAAAAGGGCCTGTTCACACATACAACCTTTCCGGAAAATTGCCGGTAATTTTCCGGAAAGGTGTGTATGTGTAAAAGGGGCTACTGTGTTGTTATTGATATTGGTGTCAATATATCCACAAATAATTGCCAGATTCAAACTTTTGCGCTTTGGCTCTGAGCCATAGAACGATGCGTTCAGCGCTTGTTTTAGGCCAGGGCTTCTCAAATCCGGACTCCGGTCCAGATCCGGATTGCGAAGCTGTTCAATCCAGACCCGACTCTATTTCTCAATGCAAGATCATGCGTAAAAGGTTCAAATTGTGGATTTCCTTCATTGATAAATGCATAAACTTTGTTTAATCAACAGTTTAGTTGTTTGTATTATTATTATTTTTTAATATGGCCGTAATAAAATTGAAGGCAAAATATTCAAAGTTTTCCTGCGCGACTGTTTTCACAACATCACTGTCATGAAATCCAGTCATGAAATCCAATCTAGTTGACCGAGTGTTGGTATTGCACCTGGAAGGGCAGAAAACTTATGCTGGACTAGTTGGCGGTTCATTCCGACTCATGATAAATGAGGGAAGCTGAGAGAAAAATAATGAATGAATGAATTTTATGACTTTCTGGATTCAGCCGGATTTGGATGTTAATGACTCAGACTTAAGTGCGACTCGACCCACTTTTTGTCAGGGTTCTGCCACTCTGGTCATGTAAATTCTTGTTTTGGTGGCAGAATCCGGACACTAGTCATGTCTAGTCCTGTCCTGTTGTGCTCGGCTCAAGTTTTCTTGGGTCGAGCACTTGTTTCTGTTACTGTGTGTGTCTCCGTGTGTGCGCACGCCTTCGTGGGTGTGCGCAGAGCGTGCGCGCTCCCGCTCGGACGCGCGCGCTCTTGTACTCGTGTTTGTGTTCGTCTGTATGCAGCGTAGTGTTTCATTCCCAGCGTCCCAGTCTAGTTGGTTTCGGTTAATGAGTTCTCTCATTGGCTGCATGTTCTTGTCCTGTGTTATGCGAGCACATGGCTTGTGTTGTCTCTGTGTCATGCACTCTCCCGTTTATTGTCTAGTCCCACCCTCCTTGTTAACCCATTATTAGTTAATTATGTTCATCCGTTTGTGTTAATTTCCTACAGTTTATAAACCCCTCATGTTTGCTGTCCTGTGCCAGTTCGTCATCAGATGTCATCGTTTCCTGTCTTGTCCTGTTCTCCAGTTTGCCAGCCTGCCCAGTCTAGTTTGTTTGTTTATTTGTTTTATTAATATTTTCCCCCTCGGGTAGTTTGTTTTGCTGTTTTGCTTTTTATTTTTTATAAATAAATACCCATTATTTGCTGCACCTGAGTCCTCGCTCCTTTCCCTAACCACAACCGTGACACTTTGGACTCGGACTCTACTGGTTAAGGACTTGGTCTTGACTTGGACCAAAGGTGGACTCGGCCCCAACACTAGTAATGTTGGAGTTGTGAGTCGGCCTGAATTAGATCTGAATTTCCTGTTTTCCTGTGAAATTCATTAATTCAAACTGATTCAGTGCTGGAATAGCATCAGGAACTTGTTTTTTTTTTTTTTACACCCAAGCAGAACATAACTCAAAATAAATTAAACTGAAAAGTAATATAAAATCAACAAGCTTAATTTAAGAGTAATTATAAGTACCAATAATATCTTCTTTAAACGTCAAACATGATTAGATGCAGTATATCATTGATTAGAAAATGTGACAGCAAATTAAGTGTCATAATACTTTTTTAAAACCTCAATCATGTTTATGTCTTTGACCCTCATTGAATCTGTTTTCTTGCAGGGCAATCATGATGACGCCTCGTCCTCTATTCATACAGGGGTGAACGCTAACAATAGGATGTCCAATGACCAACCAATGAACTCTAGCAGTGAGACAGCCCATTATCAGACTGAGACATATTGATGAACACCACACTTGGGACGTCCCATAATCAGTGTAAGGTTGTTACTTTTAGACTTGTGAGTAAAACATGAATCTCGGAAACTGAACCTGTAGTAACCCAGATTGCATATTTTAAGTAATTGTTTGTTTGTTGCATTCTAAATCATAAGATAAATATGAAGATGCCTTAAATATGAATACATTCTAGACATCTACCTAATATCCATCGGAGACAGATGAGCAAATGCCCTAAACATGTGTTGCAGATGTAAATACACACATATATGTGGCTATCAAGGACTACTCTAAAATGTGTTTTTATAATGTATGTTGTGTTGTAGAATAAGTTTTTTATTTATATTAAACATGTTAATTTACCACATTTAATATTGTGGTAAAACAGCAATGTGCATGTATTTACATATATATTACAATCTTCAAATGTTTTGGTATTATATATTTAAATAGTTTTTGAAAGAGAATATATATATATATATATATATATATATTCAGAGAATGACTTGATTTCAGTGCTTTTTTGTTTTGTGGTTGTTCCTAAAGATTTACATATAATTTGAAGTCTTCACAAAATGGGGAAAGTTTGGTTAACAAGGAATTCGTTTTTTTTACTATTATTTTTATTATTATTATGCAGGAAAGAATATTAGAAAGATACAGTATGAACAAAGTGACAAAAGGGTTACACAAATAAAATTTCAGCAAATTAAAAGTTTAAATGATTTACACAAGGAAAGAGTTTTACATGCAATATAATTGTTAGAATCTTTTAAAGATTCACATATAATAAAAAGTAAGGGTGTTTCTTTGAAAATTTACATATGGATGTAAAATTTGACGAAAATAAATAAATTAATAATAAATGTACAATGACAAGTATCTACATTCAGAGAGTAACCAAACAACACAATTCTTGGGGAAATACAAAAGTTTGGAAGTAAGAATTGTTTTCATGAAGTTGGAAAAGTCAACCCAAAACACAGTAAGTGCACTCCCAAACTAAATGCTTTAATGTTTCATCATATTGAGCAAAAAAAGGGGATTTTTGACAATTGACCCAGCCGAGGCTCGAACCAGCGACCTTCTTGCTGTAAGGCGACAGCACTACCTACTGCGGAATTAGTTTTTGTTTTTGTCATTCCTCAGAAATGACGAGGCGGCAGCATCTTCCCGTAATGGGCGTGGCTTTCAGGTTATGACATGTTGCGCTCTGTGGGAGCAGTCTCAGATAATTTCATCACTTCACACTCCAACAAGAACACTATAAATGTAACACATCTGCATCTTACTACTCTGTTTTTACTCAGAAACTGAACATGGAGCATTTCATTTTCCTCATTTTGCTGCTGTGTCTACACGAGAATGGTAAGACATTATTCAGCCCTTTTCCTAATAACGGTCAAAATAAACGTCACAGTTTAGTTTGACATCAATCTTTTTATCTGTAGTTCATTGTCTGTAACTATTTTGCTCTATCGTAGTCGTTCGTCGAGTTTCTTTCCTGGTCAACGATTATAAGCAGTCAAAATGAATAAATACACGTTTAAAACGTTTCTCTGTAAATGCTAATTTTGTACAGCAACTTAACATATATAGTGACGTAACGTGGTGCATTTAGTTTAACATTTGACATTAGACGTTCAGTTTAATGCCTTGTTCATTAAAGGGAATGTAAGCAACTTAAATGTATTTTTAGCTTATTTTAATGCATTTAATTGCATGTATTATTCCATGTGAATCGTTTTATTAAGTAATGTTTATGTTCTGTGAAATACGAAACAGATTGTATGTAAAACCACCCTTGTTTATTAAAGATAATAATTATCTGAGAAATTTGCAAGTCAAATCTGAAACAAACTGCTAAGTTTACTGAGTATATTTACAGTTCTAAAATTGATATTTAAAAAATTTACAATTAATTTATTTTTTAGGAGTATCAAACTGAATGTCTGCGAATGTCAAAAGTTAAACTTAATTTACAGAGTAAATATCTGTCTGTTGTACTTTAGTTAATCAAATGTTCCTGGAATAGTGTTGCTTCATACGTGTAATATCAAGACATTTGTGCTGCCCATTACATTACAAACCACAGGAGAGGGCAAATTGTTCAGCAGGATAGCGCTCCTTTTCATACTTCAGCCTCCACATCAAAGTTCATAAAAGAAAAGACGGTCAAGGTGCTCTAGGATTGGCCAGCCCAGTCACCAGAGATGAACATTATTGAGCATGTCTAGGGTAAGATGAAGGAGGAGGCATTAAAGATGAATCCAAAGAATCTTGATGAACTCTGGGAGTCCTGCAAAAATGCTTTCTTTGCCATTTCAGACAACTTATTAATAAGTTATTTGAGTCATTGTAGAGATGTATAGATGCAGTCTTCCAAGCTCATGGGAGTCATACACATTATTCATTATTTTTCCACTGCACCATGACTTTATATTTTATACTGTACATTATTTCTCCTATTTTATTTTGGTAAAATCAGCGTAATCTAGAGGCCTTTGCCTTTCATATAAGTCATTTCTGCTACCAAATGATTAACTAAAAGACACACACACATATATATATATATATATATATATATATATATATATATATATATATATATATATATATATATATATATACATATATAAAACTGACCGGCCCACATTTAAAAAATTGGTCCGGCCCTTCTGGCATTTGCCAGAATTGCCAGATGGCCAGTCCGCCTCTGTCTGGCCATCTCTCAGTGATAGTACTCTTCGCGTCAAGATCAATCCCATGATCCCTCGCACTCTGCTAGTGTCTGACGTGAAAGGCACACTCAGGTTTTTCTGGATCCAACAGTGTATTGGTGATGTCTCGTAAAACAAAGTGTTGGAGTTCAATGAGTTTTCACTACGGTGTGCATGTGAATTTAGTATAAAATATAACACATAATCCTTAAACAAAGCCATGTGCATGTGCAAATGTCTATCTGTTTACTAAAGTACATCAGTTGGGAAGATATTCCTGGAATAGTGTTGCTTTGGATGCTTAAAAGTCTTTACACAAATAAGGAACTGCCCTTTTCTTCTTCTCCAGGTGTGTCTGCTGTTGATTCAAATGTAGAAGTGTTGGTGAAATATGAAGATTCAGTCACTCTACACACTGGTGTTAAAACAAATCAACAAAACTATATCAGATGGTATTATGATACGATTAAAATAGCTGAAATCAGAGGAGATCTCAGTGGTATAATATATGACATTATGAAATCATACTAATAGTAACATTATTATTATTACTATTATTATTATTATTAGAAAAATGTCTGTCACACCACACAAAAAGTAGTTTTGATATTGTTGATCTAATAATGAACTGTGCTTTTCTTCCAGGTGTGTCTGGTGTTGGTAAAGATGATGTGTCTGTGAGCAGAGGAGATTCAGTCACTCTACACACTGGTGTTAAAACCAACCAACAATACAGAATTGTGTGGTTTTATGAAGGCATTCGTATCGCTGTAATCAGTGGAGACCTCAGTTATATCTGTACAGATGTTCAATGCAATTATGGCACTGAGAGATTCAGAGGCAGACTGAAGCTGGATCATCAGACTGGATGTCTGACCATCATGTACAGCACATTCCAAGATGAAGGAGAATATGAAGTAGAGATCAGCAGCACCAGCGGCAGAGTCAGTGTAAAGACCTTCACCGTGTCCGTCATTCCAAGAGGTCAGTCATTGTGTTGTACGATTCAATCATTCAGAGGTGTTTTTCTGTTTTCCTGTGTGTTAATTCACAAACGGTAAATGCATCATTTCATCAAAAGCATTTCATTGAAAATAGTTTTAGATAGTGTTATATACAGTTGAAGTCAGAATTATTAGCCCCCCTATTTATTTTTTTCCCCAATTTCTGTTTAATGGAAAGAAGATTTTTTTTCAACACATTTCTAAACATTATAGTTTTAATATTTCTAATAACTGATTTATTTTATCTTTGCCATGATGACAGTAAATAATATTTTTCTAGATATTTTTCAAGACACTTCTATAAAGCTTAAAGTGAAATTTAAAGGCTTAACTAGGTTAATTAGGTTAACTAGGCAGGTTAGGGTAATTAGGCAAGTCATTGTATGATGATGGTTTGTTCTGTAGACTATCAGAAAGAATATATAGCTTACAGGGGCTAATAATTTTGTCCTTAAAATGGTTCATAAAAAATGTATAACTGCTTTTATTCTAGCTGAAATAAAACAAATAAGACTTTCTCCAGAAGAAAAAATATTATCAAACATACTGTGAACATTTCTTTGCTCTGTTAAACATCGTTTGGGAAATATTTAAAAAAGAAAAGAAAATTCAAAAGGGGGACTAATAATTTAGACCTCAACTGTATATCATATTTCATGTCCTTTAGTTACATTTTACACTCACGTTTTTTATATTTATATTTTTAGTAAACCGAGTATGTAAAAAGTATGACAAGTAAGTTTATAAACGTGAAATACCAGCAAGTGTTGCAAAATGAAATGTCAAAAATGAGGGCTGCACAATATATCCTTTAAGCATCAATGCTGCAACGTGTGCATCTGCATTAGTCACATTGCAGGACTTGTAATGTCATATTGGGAATATTAATATTAGCAAACTCTCTCTCTTAATAATAATAATAATTATAATAATATTAATAATAATAATAATAATAACAATATATTGTCTTTGTTGTGTCAGTTATATGTACATTAGGATTACCTTTTGCTGGTGTTGCTGTTATTGCTGCTGCTGTTCTGCTTCTTGTTGTTGCAATTGCTGGTGTGATTTGCTGCTGCTGCAAATGCAAAAGCAAGAAGAAAAAGTGAGTATTACATTCAGATGATGCAACAAGATGCACACATTTATATTTGGGGTGTAACAGTACACTGGTGTTATGATACAGTATGTACCACAGATTTGGGGTTTGGTACAGGTACAGTCCAACAGGAATATCAACAAATCCCCAAATCCCTGTTTGTTTTGAACAGGCAGACGTGTTTTTTTTCACAATCACATTCAGAACTAAAGGGCTTCTTGTGATGCATAAGTACAAAATCAACAGAATAATGAAAAATAAAACTTAATTTACACAATTAACTATGTATTAAACTTTCAAAGGTTGATTCCAACTTATTTCAACAGAATAATTGTGCATTGACTCAGTAAGCTTCTGAACTGTAATCTCTTATGAAAATTCAGCACTGACTGGAGGCCCATCATAACAGCGAGGGCAGTGGACAACAACTGTTCAATTGAGAGTGGTCTGGCTGCAGGCTTGGTGCAGTGCAATCTGAGCTGCATCCAATGCTTTTTAATGCGCTCACCTAACCCCACCCCTAACCCTACCCGTCACAGTGACGTCACTCACTCCATTGAGTGCATTGAGTCTGACATTCTATTGCTGAGTGATGCAATCTCAGCTTGCATCATAAAGGCTGCTATTGGTTCAATCTTGCGTGTGTGTGTGTGTGTGTGTGTGTGTGTGTGTGTGTGTGTGTGTGTGTGTGTGTGTGTGTTTGTGTGTGTGTGTGTGTGTGTTGTAGTTTCCGACCTTTCCATTAGTTAATCACGATCAGACTGGAGGTTTTCAGTACCAGAAGAAGACTTAATTTGCTCCTGCACCTCTTTTCTGCAGACTGCTCATCTTACACAAACCCAGTTCAAGCCTGGCTTGTGTTTACTGCACAGTACTGCATACTTTAGAGAACACAAAATCTTCCTTGGTATGGGTGAAGAACCAACTCTAGCGTTTCTATGTAAATGCAGTTGAGAGACGTGTGTGTGACCATCCGCGTCTTCTGCAGCACCTCGCACATGAGTGGCGCTCATTACTGTCAGTTCCACAGCAGTAGACCAACCAGAAGTACTCATAAGCGGGGCAAGAGTTTCTCGCGAGCTTTGGTTTATCAAGTTGACATGAAAACAGCAACATGGCAGAACTATTTGTGTTTTCAGATGCAAAGATGTATTATTTGTGAACTGCTGCTAAGTTGTTGCACTACCGAGTTCTTTTCTACCCTATTCCTGTGACTGGGCTGGCACATCTGGACTGACTGTATTCGTTGTGTGGGCGGATGTAGCAAACCGTCACCCCCATACCATGACTGTTTAAGATGAATACATATACCGTTACACCTCTAATATAAATATATAGTTTAAAACCAGTCTATAAACCTTATTTGTCAGAATTTGTTGTACTTATTGGTTGTAATTCTTCAATGTAGAATTCAGATGAAAAACTTGCTGATGCATTGAGGCTCTGTCCACACAAACACAGGTATGTTATACTCTTTTATATTACTACATATGTAAGTGATTTCTGTGTGTGAACTGGGTTTAAATGCAGAGCATGGAGGAAAAGAAGAAAACAAACAGTGTTTTCATGTGGAAAGTTTTCATTTTTATTTTATTGTAGGATGGAAAGCTACCTATAAAAAGATCTGTGTATCGCTCAACATGAAAATCCGCCAGCAAATGAACACATTAATGTGTATTGAAATCATTACATTGAGACGCCAATAATAGAGTTTATTTCTAAACAGGCAGACGGTGTTAAAGACTCATGGATGAACATAATTGGGCAGAGAATGACGCTGCCATCAAGATGCCCACCAATGTAATGCTAGTTCATCTGCTGACATATCCATTGAAAGAGAAGATGGGAAACCTAAAGAAACTCACAGGGAAACTAATCATCCTCTATGCGGTTTTTAACCAATATTTTTGTTATTTGATAGCACCAAAATCTCAAACAAACACGCACATAACTCAACAAAGAGGTGCAATACTTATTTCATCCACTGGGAGTCACTGCACATTTAAGAGTTTTATTCTGAAGTGAGTCATGATCAAATAATCAAGCACTGGTGGAGAACACACATTCATTCATTCATTTTCTTGTCGGCTTAGTCCCTTTATTAATCTGGGGTCGCCACAGCTGAATGAACCGCCAACCCATCCAGCAAGTGGATGCCCTTCCAGCTGCAACCCATCCCTGGGAAACATCACTCACACATTCACACACACACTACGGACAATTTAGCCTACCCAATTCACCTGTACTGCATGTCTTCGGACTGTGGGGGAAACCAGAGCACCCGGAGGAAACCCACGTGAAGACAGGGAGAACATGCAAACTCCACACAGAAACGCCAACTGAGCCGAGGTTCGACCCAGCGACTTTCTTGCTGTGAGGCGGCAGCACTACTGCGCCACTGCCTCGCCTGGTGGAGAACATAGAAACAGTTAATTCGCATTAAAATCAAAAACACTATAGCACAGGTGTCAAACTCATTTCCAAAAGGGCCGCAGCTCTGCACAGTTTAGTTCCAACCCTAATTAAACACACCTGATCAAACTAATTGAGTCCATCAGGCTTGTTTGAAACCTACAGGTAAGTGTGTTGGAGCAGGGTTGGAACTAAACCGTGCAGGGCTTCGGCCCTCCAGGAATTGAGTTTGACACCCCTGCACTAAAGCCTTTTAACTTCAAATCAAAGAGTGCTTTAGATTAATAAGATTATTTCAGTGTGTAGTTTTGGTAAAGTTGCGATCCAGATAAAAAACAACAACTGGTTATACTGGTTGTATAATCTTATACAAACAATAGATAACCTTTTTTTTAATGATTTTATTTATATGCTGCCTTTACAATTTTATTAGCATCTTGACAACGCTAGACAAAAGTATCCATGGCAAACTTAATACACTGTAATTATATAATAATAAATAATTAACAATATTCACATTATTCTAAACTGGTGTTTTCATCTGTTAGAGTTGACACATTTTAAAAGTGTTTGTTAAGAATCTTAGGAACAGAACCAGTGAAAACTGCACTGCATTGTACACTACATGACAAAAGTCTTGTTGTTGATCATTTGGAAAAGTGGCAGTTGGTGGATTTTTCTGATGAATCATCTGTTGAACTGCATCCCAATCATCATAAATACTGCGGAAGACCTATTGGAACCCGCATGAACCCAAGATTCTCAAAGAAATAAGTCAAGTTTGGTGAAGGAAAAGTCATGGTTTGGGGTTGCATTCAGTATGGGGGTGTGTGAGAGTTCTGCAGAGTGGATGGCAACATCAACAGCCTGAGGTATCAAGACATTTGTGCTGCCCATTATGTTATAAACCACAGGAGAAGGCAAATTCTTCAGCAGGATAGCGCTGCTTCTCATACTTCAGCTTCCACATCAAAGACTATAAGGTATCATCATTGTAATATAATACAAACAAATGTTAATGTTTGATAATATTAAAAAATTATGAAATATTTGACTGATTTTTAAAAATGTAATGGATATGCTCCATCTCCCTTATGTGAGTTTGTGACACATTAGAGTAATAATGGTAGAGCAACCAATCTATTACTAGAGGAGACTACTGTGCAGTTTAGACGTACTTCTCAGTTAGAGCCAGTCATTTCTGGAACACACTTCCTATTGGTTTAAGGGGTCTTACAAATTATTCCACATTTAAATACAAGTTAAAAGCCAATCAAGTTAATAATCGTGTAATTTTTTTTTTTTTTTTTTAGCTTTTTTTTATGAAATTCTTATTATGTTTTGTCATTTTGATGTATGTAACTTTACTGTAATTGTATGTGTAAATGGGTTTTTTGATTTTAGGTTGCCTTTTTAAAATCTGTCAACAGATGAAATGAGTCTTTGTGTCTTATTTACAGTTTTACTGCTAATGAGCATTGTCCCTGTCAAATAAATATTTTCAAATTACACTTGAAACTCTTTTTATCATACTACGGTTTTAGGACGCAGCAAAAAGACTTGTTTTGTAGGAAGATTGAAAAAACGTCGGTCTACGTAATTGTAAACTAGTAATTTCATGGCGTCGTCGATCGACAGATGGACTTTATTTCGCTGAATCAAGGCTCACCTTTGACCAGAAAGGGAACATGAAAGTCTTATTTTCTCTCTTTTTGCTACTGTTCTTAACGTTACACGAGAATGGTAAGACATTTAACGTTAAGCCTGTTTTGAACACTCATAACATCGACATTTTAGCTTCACGTCAAACTTATCTGTAGTTTATTTGTCTATATTTTCCCTGATTGTTGTTGTTTTTCGTGTATCTCTAGTGTAATGGACGCTATACTTGATTGTTGAACGATGCAGAAATTTAACCTAAGTTAAGTTAGTAGCCCAGCCCAGTTTAAATAAGTTAAACTTTTGACATAAACATTCACTTTGACATCCATAAAACTCTGCTCATTTGATGGTTTAAGCTCAAATTGAGTCCGATATCATGAAAACACTTTGTATAACACAATGTTAATTTAAAGATTAAAAATAAATGATTTGACCATGTTTTGACTGTTTTAAATGATGAATGTTAAAGTAATTTAAAGAATGACTGTTTTAAATAATGGTTTACGCAACATACAAACATAATAATGTTGCACTACTATACTTGACTTGACTGGTTTTATTGTAAAAAAAAACAAGAAAACATGTTAAATGAGAATCTGAAATATTTATTGCATACTTCAAAAAGTAAAGGTGATTTAGTATTCAAAAATGTTTTATTTTGATTATGTTTTTAAATAACACTTCATATTTTCAGTAGTATATGTATTAATTCTGGTACTTTTACCTTACACCGACATATCAACTTCTACCAAATGGTTAATATTTTAGAAATTATGGGATGTTTTTAAAAAATACATTGAGTGTGCTAACTAGTGACATTACGAATTAAGAAATGCAATGCAATTTTTTTATTTTATTTATTTATTTATTTATTTTTTTTGGTGGGGCATACAAGAATAAACCAAGGTTTTTTACTTCAAGGTGAAAACCCTACTTTGTGTTTGTACTGCTTTTAATTATTCCAGATCTTTTTTTTAATGAAATTAAAAGATTTTAGAATTTGTATCATGTGTTAACACTAAAAAATTTATTTAATTTATGTATTAATTTGGTTGTTGGTTTTTAATTGTATATTTATTATTAAAATGTTCCTTCCATGAAAGTTTGGCAGGAAAGCCTTGGTTGCTGACATGGCATTAAATAAAAAATACATTACATTACATTTTGTTGGTGGGGCAGTTAAAGGGTTAAATCAAATATGACATTATGAAATCATACTAATAGTAACATTATTATTATTACTATTATTGTTATTAGAAAAATGTCTGTCACACCACACAAAAAGTAGTTGTGATATTGTTGATCTAATAATGAACTGCGCTTTTCTTCCAGGTGTGTCTGGTGTTGGTAAAGATGATGTGTCTGTGAGCAGAGGAGATTCAGTCACTCTACACACTGGTGTTAAAACCAACCAACAATACATAATTGTGTGGTTGTATGAAGGCATTCGTATCGCTGTAATCAGAGGAGACCTCAGTTATATCTGTACAGATGTTCAATGCAATAATGGCACTGAGAGATTCAGAGACAGACTGAAGCTGGATCATCTGACTGGATCTCTGACCGTCATGAACACCAGACTCAGAGATGCTGGAGAATATCAGCTACTGATCAGCAGCAGCAAAAGCATCAATGAAATGATCTTCAGAGTTGTTGTTAAAGGTGAGTCAATATGTTTAACGAATGTGTTAATGATGTGTTTACTGGATCTTCCAGAGGTGTTTATCTTCACCTATATATTAATCCACAATACACAGATTCTTCACAAACACATTTAGTGTTAAAGTGGAGTGTGTAGCTGTAACTACAAGTCTAGTTTAGTGTGATTTTTTGATTTTGATATATATAGTGATAAACTGTATCTAAAGTTTCACCAAATGATTGAATAGCACTATTTAGAAACAATTTATAGTCATTCTTTCTTTTAATGTTCACATTTCGCTATTAGCAAACCATTAACTATGACTTTTACTTCAATAAACTCCTAAATTGCTCCTTTTTAATAGCAATGAAGGTAGTTTAGGTGTTGGGATAGGGATGTAGAATATTATAATTATAATAATATTAACCTGAAAATATATTTAAAAAAAAAACACTTAGCAAATTATAAATTTGAGACCATGCATGATCAAACTCTCTACCCTAGATGTCGAATTGGACATTCTAGGTTGACTCATTTGTATTTACTGAATAACGAAGCACCACCTAAATGTAATTACTGCCAGGCTGCTCTTACCATGAAAAATATTTTGCTGGAATGTGGAAGTTTGGATACCATTAGACAAAATTTTTATAAGGAGAGTATTTTGGACATTTTAAAAAGGTACCACCAGGAAGAATCTTAAATCATTTATGAAAAATTGAACTGAAAAATCATATTAAACTTTGAATATATTTTTGTGTGAATTTTATTTATTTCTATTTTATATGTTTGTCTAAGTAACTTTTTATTGGAATACGAATTTGTATAAGAAGTTGCTGATGTGGCAATAATTAAATAATAAATAAATTAAAATAATATTATAATAATAATCATGCAGAATATTTAGGTTATAAGTGGGGCTAGACAGAATCTGCAGACATTTTTTGCTATTTTTTTGCTGATAATTTTGTTAAAAATCTGCAGATTTATGCGGAATGATTTTGAAAGTATGACAACTAAACTGAGGAAGGCATTGTGCCGAAACGTCTGCGTCTTTTAATCACCCGAAGAATATAAGAAAATAAATATTGAAAAACAGTGCGAAGCAATTACTTGAGTGCGAATCATTATCTTTTTTGTCAATACTAGTATGACAACTAAAACCTAAATATATAAAATAAAAAATACATTTTAACTTTCATTTAATGTTTACAATGCAAATGCAATTAGATCCACGTTATTTGGTAAACAAAGCAAATCTCTCATATAATATATCTACTAAAAGACAGAAAATATTACTTTACAAACTGTATTGTGAATAAATTACATGAACATTTTCATATTAGTCAATAGTTATACTGAAATTTATTTAAAAACTTAATAAATATAAATTTACATGCATATACACAAGTAAATAAACTGAATCAATAACAGGTTTGAAATCTGCAGAATGCGCGTGCAGATTCCATATGGGCCTAGTTATAAGTACTAATAAGCAGCCAATATCTTAATAACAAACATGCTAATAAGCAATCATTTAATTAATTAATCATAAAGTGTTTCCAAATGTATTAATTTAAATTAAAAGCAATGATGAAAGTGAAGTAAGCAGTGCGTCCTTTGTGGTTTTGTAAATACAAGTGTAAAAACTACATTTTAACGTCTTTTTTGTAAAAAATAATGCAATTAAATTATTATTTATTAAACTTTCAATTAGCAAAGTGTCTTGTGCCAGAATACTTCTCTCTCAGGCCTTAAAGAGCATGCAAATGACAAAGCTATTTTGTGCTCTATTGAATTGAGATCTGGTGACTGTGGAGGCCATTTGAGTACAGTGAACATTGTCATGTTCAAAATCCACAAGTCTCGTGTTCTGAACTGTGACTCTTGCTCAGATACAATCCTAACTCAACATTAAATATCTATGCAATGTGACTATTCTGTATGCACACATTGCAATATCAATGCTGCAGCAATATATTGTGCAGCTCTAGTCACTAAATAAAAATTGGGCCAAATAAGTAAAAATGTAGACTAATTTATGCAAAGATTCAGACAGCTGGACTAATATTATTTGGTATATTTCTGCTGTGTGTTTGCCCGTTACATTATGAATTATGATATATTTGTCTACGCTTAGTTAGTCATGGGCTGGTATAAGTTTCGGACAGTATGATAACCTTGGATAAATGTGCCACAGTTTCACGGTATGACGGTATTGTGATTACTACTCTGTAATAAGTTCATTTTAAAAGTCTGAGTAAAAAAACAACAACTTCTTTACCCATTGAACACAATATATTTTATCTTAGGAAACATATCAGGCTAACTAATTAAAATAAATCATTGATTTCAAAACTCAGATTTATTAACAACACATAAAAACATTTAAAAAAACCTTACATACACAAACAGTATAACAGAAACGGTATAACAGTGGTTTTAAAACCTTAACTTTCCTAAATCACTGTAAACCTTGAAACTGGTTATCATCCCATCTTTTTGACACAAACACATTTTCCACATCTGGTTTTGTGTATTATTTCAATAACGACTTGCTCTTAACTGTTTTTTTCTTCTTCAGATGTCTATTGGGTTGATGAAGACGATAATGATGAAGAGTCAGTATCAGTGATTGAGGGAGATTCAGTCACTCTACACACCGGTGTTAAAACAGACCAACAGGACAGAATTGTGTGGTTTAATGAAGGCAGTCGTGTCGCTGTAATCAGCGGAGATCTCAATGTTATCTGCACTGACGTTCAGTGTGATAACAGCACTACGAGATTCAAAAACAGACTGAATCTGGATCATCAGACTGGATCTCTGACCATCATGAACAGCAGAAACACAGATGCTGGAGAATATCAGCTACTGATCTTTAGCAGCTTCCGCTTGAGTAAAAAGATCTTCAGAGTTGTTGTTCATGGTGAGTCATAATGTTTAATAGAAGAAGTACATTTAAATCTCTTCATTAATGTGTTTATGTTGTGTCAAAGTGGAGTGTGTTGCTTTAACGACAAGTCTAGTTCAGTGTGAGTTTAAAGAGTTTTTCTAGTTTTAATAGTTTTGTTCTGGTGCACAGGACAGATTCCCATCTCATCAAGTCTGATCAGCTTTTATCATCACCTCTTTAAATACAACTATAATTTCACATTCATAGATCTTATTATTCAAGTAATTTAATGACAACAACAATAATAGAATTTTAGTTCTGTAAATAGAACTTTTCTGACCAAAAGTCAAACAAGACGCATTTTAACTGATGTTTAAATAATGATACATTCTGACAGTGAATGTATTTTATATCAGTCAGTCAGTCTCTGGATAAATATGGATATATATCTCTGGATATTTTGTATATTTCAGCTGTTTGTTTGCTTGGTACATTATGAATCCTGATATACACTCATCGGCCACTTTATTAGGCACACCTTACTAGTAAGGGGTTGGATCTAGGCATGGGCTGGTATAAGATTCTGATGGTATGATAACCTTGGATAAAAATATCATGGTGATTACTGCTTTAAAATATAAGCTCTTTTTAAATGTCTGGGTAAAAAACAAAAATATTTTCCCCCTGTGAACAGAATATGTTTTGTTTTGACCAAACTTATTTTGGAAAAGTAATCATGTCAGGTTAAACAATTCCAATGAATTGACTTCTGTGGTCTTAAACATTTTTAAACACAGATTTCATTGCAGTTTAAAATGGCATCTTTAGATATATTTTCTGCTGTATATACTGTTGTCCTAAAAAACTTGAAACAAAATATATGAAAAAAAAACAAAAACGTACATAATTCTGTAGGAACGGTACAGAAGAAAATTTTGGTGGTTTTAAAACCATGACTTTTCCAAACCCCGGTATATGTTGAAAATGGTTACCATTCCATACCTACTGTAGTTGGACTCACTTTTTTGCCTTCAGAACTGCCTTAATCCTTTGTGGCATAGATTCAACAAGGTACTAGAAATATTCCTCCAATTTTGGTCCATATTGACATGATAGCATCACGTAGTTGCTGCAGATTTGTTGGCTGCACATCCATGATGTGAATCTCCCGTTCCACCACATACCAAAGGTGCTCTATTGGATTGAGTTCTGGTGACTGTGGAGGCCATTTGAGTACAGTGAACTCGATCATTTTTAAGAAACCAGTTTGAGATGATTTTATGACGCTTGATGATTTTATGATTTTATGATGATGATGACGCTTTATGACGTGGCATGTTATCCTGCTGGAAGTAGCCATCAGAAGATGAGTACACTGTGGTCATAAAGGGATGGACATGGTCAGCAACAATACTCAATTAGGCTGTGGTGTTGATACAAACCTCAATTGGTACTTATGGCCATTCTTCTCTGGCATTAACAAAGCATTTGCGCCCACAGAACTGCCACTCGTTGGATATTTTCTCTTTTTCAGACCATTCTCTGTAAACCCTAGAGATGGTTGTGCGTGAAAATCCCAGTAGATCAGCAGTTTCTGAAATATTCAGACCAGCCTGCATGGTGCCAACAACCATGCCACGTTCAAAGTCACTAAAATCAACTTTCTTCCCCATTCTGATGCTCAGTTTGAACTGCAGCAGATCGTCTTGACCATGTCTACATGCCTAAATGCATTCAGTTGCTGCCATGTGATTGGCTGATTACAAATTTGCGTTACCAAACAGTTGGACAGATGTACCTAATAAAGTGGCCTGTAAGTGTGTGTGTATTTCTCAGCTCACTGTCTTTACGACACAAACACATTTTCCCCACACCTTTTTGTGTATTATATTTAAATAATAATGAATTGCTCTTAACTGTTCTTTTCTTCAGATGTCCATTGGGTTCAAGAAGTGAAAGTGGAAGTGTCCGTGACGGATGGATATTCAGTCACTCTAAACACTGACACTACAACAAAGCAGCTCCACAAAATTAAATGGTATTTCAATAACATTTGTGTTGCTCAGATCAGAGGAGATCTCAGTTACATCTGCACAGATGTTCAGTGCGATGAAGGCGCTGAGAGATTCGGAGACCGACTGAAGCTGGATCATCAAACTGGATCTCTGACCATCATGAACATCAGAAACAGAGATAGAGGAGAATATAAACTGGAGATCATCAGCAACAGAGGCAGCAGAAGAAAGATCTTCAGAGTTCTTGTTGATGGTGAGTCTGACAAAGTATTTGATTATTAATTATTATTCATATTAGCTGGTATACTAAGCTAGAACTGCAATTAAATGACGTAGCTGTGATGTATGTATATGTAGCTGTACTGTACATGTGATGTTAGCGCGTGTTTAGATCAGATCATAACCTTCTAATGTGCAGAGCTGTGTGTGTTAGTCTAGTGTAACCACAGATGATGCACTTTGAATACACTTTATATTGATAAGGGTGGTCAATGATCGATTATATATAATTAAACGTGTGATTATATGCACCCATGACGGTTCAATGCAGCCTCAGATTTTGTCATAATAATGTGGGAAAAATCTTCAAATGCTTTGTCATGACAGTCGTCCATCCAGATTGCAGCACCACGAGGCTCAGCTAAGCACTGTTTGTGTGGTGCTTTGGGTTTTCCACATCAAGAATGGATCAGAGCTTCAGAGAGGGGCGTGGTGAGCTGCAGCTCATTATCATTTAAAGATACAGGCACCAAAATGGGTCACTGTGGACTGAGGTGTTTTTGAAAAGGTAAAAGGGTGTTTATTTACACTTGAAGAATTTAACCAAAGAAAGTTATAGACTTTTGATTAAGGCCTCAGAATCATTTCAGTTTGTGAAAAAGGGTGTCCCATGTCAGCAATTTAATGGATCACCTGTTTCATTCAGATTTGTTTGCCTAAAATGTTCAACACTTAAACATCAAGTGGCATGCTGTGTTATCAATGCAATATTTTCTGCTTACAGTTCTAATGTTATTATCATAAAAATGCTTAACATTTGTTTTCTCTGTGCTCCAGTTTTCTCACTGTTTTGATGTTTTAGCGTAGTTCATCCAATTGATGAGTAGAAATGTGTGATCATCCAATTTCTCAGTCACTCTTTTAAAAATAACATCTGGTCTTCATATATCCAGATTCTGGGCCGTTTTCAGCTGCTGTACCAAGACTATATGAAATTGTTGCTATTGCTGCTGCTGTTCTGCTTCTTGCTGCTGCAGTTTCTGGTGTAATTTGCTGCTACAAGAGCAAAGCAAATGGTAAAAGTGAGTATAACGTTCAGATTAAGTAAAAAGATGGACATATGATGTATATTACATTCATAGATTTGTTTTAAAGCGTCAGAATGTTTAATTGAGTTTGTTTTAATTCTTCAGTCAGACTCCAGGAGGCAGCGGAGTGATCAGGTGAGATATTGTGAGCACAAGTCATCAAAACTGTTATGCAATAAGTTAAATGGCAAAGCATTTCTTTATTTAAACGATTATGAAACCCCCTACTTTCAGTTTAAGGGTGTTTTCACACCTAGACTTTTGATTCGGAACCTGGCACATTTCCCCAGTTAACGCGGGTCATTTGGCATATGTGAATCCAGCAATCACGCTATAATCAAAACAATTGGTCTCGGCTCGATTGAAACGAACTCTGTAGTGGATCGAATGTAGTGCGAAAGCAATACGATCCGAGCCAGGCTATATTACAGTGTATTATGAATATGTAATAGGCATATATGGCAGTATGAAGAGAGAATTATGAGTAGTGCGGGAGGTCATTCCTACTGGTAAATGTGCATTTCATGTCAAATACGAAAGTGAAAGTATGTTAACTATTAACGAGAGCTGTTAATCCATTTTAAAATTGACTGAACCGCAGTCTTGGTTTATCTGTTATTTCTTTCTAAGATGTAAAGCCTATAATGCATAAGTCAATGGCTATGTATGAGAAAGCCTTACCTCTGATTTATATTCGATGACAATATATGTGAATGTCACCATTCAAAATTAAAGCAAAGCTTTTCACTTATAATGTCTTATTGCTCATCGTCATAAATTAAAATAAGGACTTATGGCTGCTGAGCGGGACTCTGCTAAATAAACCCTGAAACTCTGACCAATGTGAGGAGAGTTTACTCGCACGTGACTTATTTTAACTCTTTTGGTCTGTTTAGAAACTTTGCCATGTGAAAGCGAACTGCACCAAGAACAAAGTGCAAAAAAGGAGAAATTTTTATTCTTGTTTCGAAACAAAATAATCGATCCACAGGTGTGAAAGCACCCCAAGTCTACCTCAGAATTTTTTTACAAATTGCTCTGAGATGGGTGTGGAGCGCTGTGAGCAGAGGGAGGAAGTGGGCATAGTGGGCGTGTAGTCATAATTAATTAAGAAGCAGCATCTTCTCGTTGGATAAAAAAAACTCTGCTATGAATAATATTGACAAACCAATGCATCATCACTCTACTAGCAGATTCACACTACCTGATCCAGCCCTAAAAATTATTTTAAACCCAGAAGATGAAATTAGCTGACAGAAGATCTATATTATCCAGTTTTCCCCACAATTAAAGCTGATTTTCTTAACTGATGCTCAACACAAATCTGGTAAAGTCTCAAAGTACTCCAGGGTGTCTTGAACCTTTAAGAGAGATCGTTTACCAAAAAATTATAATTCACTCACTATTTACTCTCTCAGGGTGTCTACTGGGGCTTAAAAGTATTACAAGTTGATTAAAAAAATCAAAAAACATTGATTGGCCCTTAAAACATACTAATAAGTCTTTGATTATACAGTGTGTAGTTGTATGCTAAAGTTCACCTGAATTTAGTCTGCTAATATTGGTTTACTGTGTAGTTTATGAAATTGATCAAATCATGCTAGATTTGATTTTTGTTTACCGAGATGACACCGTTGGCAACATCATTATTTCTGCTGCTGCTTTATAGGCACCACTGGCTGGATTAGCATTTTTAATTAGTATATTAATACACAAATTTAACCAATCCTAAACTAAAACAGTATTACATTTTCAGCTAAGTTTAGCAACTTATAAAGTATCAAAATAAAGTGTTGCAACAGACTCAAAATATCATAAGAGAGACAATGCGGACCAGGTAAATTGTAAAGAGAAATGATTTATTACCAAATAACATACAGTACTTAACAAAGCATATTTAAAGCAACCAAAGTCAGTCTAAGTCAGTGGTAAAGAACATGTGCATGGTAGTGAACTGAGTTCATGGTCCAAACCAAAATAAAATAATCAAAACAACAGGCAGGAAGGTCCGGCTAATTGAGCTCTACGTTCATGGCAAATGTTGGACTCCTTATAGACAGCAGATAATGGGTGTCAGGTGAGATGACCCACCCACAAATCATGAACCATGCAGTCTCTGCAAATCACAAAAACACAACCAAAATAACCAGTTCCAACACTAGACCTTACATATGGTGTGTAGTTTACATTTTAAAACTGTAGTTGGAAATGGCACATGTAAATGATATAATAAAATGCTTATTTTATAGCAATCACAGAGAATGTTAATGTAATTAAATAAAGAAATGCATTGCCTGGAGACTCGTCACACCCGACATTATCATCATCATCATCACTGAACACACTGTTATGCTGTCTGTGAAATGCACAAGTTTTCTTTCCATTCGGCGCGCAGTATTAAATTCCAATACAAAAACACTCTCCTATCAATCTTTACTTCATACTCGCATCCAGCAGCTGAGAGTTTTTCTCAAGGAAATGTTCCTAAATGAAAGTGAAAGTCCCAAATTGCTTTAAAGTTGAAAAATTAAAAATGAAACGCCCATAATTGCATAAAACTCCAGAGGTAACATTGGATAGGGTGGTGATGGAGTGACTTGTACCTTAATCAAATTATTCTCTTATTTACATTACGGTAAATAATTAGATGTCAGTAAACGGATGTCCATGTAAATGTAGTCATTGTACATTAAAGATGGGTTATTAATTTCAAAGGACAGCTCCATGTCTTCTGTCTTCCTCATTTTAATTTTTTTCTCAACAGGCAAAAGGTGTTGAAGACTGTCCTGATCAGAATGACACTCTATTGATGAAAACTATTAGCAACTCGTCCACCAATCAGACTGAAGCTGCCATCGAGACGCCAACGTAACACTGGTTTATTGTTTAACTTTCATTGAACAAGAAGATGGGCAACTAGAAGGAACTCATTTCTGGTGACCTAAGTGTTAGCCAGTTCTGACTGATTTTTAGTTTATATATTTTTATATATCTTAAAGGTGCAGTAGGTGGTCTGGGAAAATCCTAACTTTAACCTGATAGCATTGAAAATGCATGTCATTCACTGCATGAAAATTGCTGTTCAAAGCCACGCTTTCATAGCTTTAAGTCATGAACGTGTACTAAATGGACGACCACAAGCAACATTACAGCACTACATCGTGTGTTATTCACCAGTGAGAAATCTTTACAATAGGGTTGACATGATACTGGAATTCGGTACCAATCGATACTGAAATTGTAAAAACCTCAGTGTACCGCAAACATTAAAGCGCAGCAGAAATGAATGTGATTGGTCATGAAGGTCATCAGTTCACCGAACTCACATCTGTTTCATCTCCTAAATATTTATTAATAGACTGCTCTAATGAGGGTTTCAAAATGGGTTGGATCATTTCTTGAATGCTGACCCTAATTTGTTATGCTTTTATATCCCTAAATTGATCTTTGCAAAGTGTGGAGGTCTAAAATTATTATTAGCCTGTGATTTTTGGTTGAAAAAAACAAACAAACTCCCAATTGTTTCTCATATAAAGATTGGAAGCCTGTAAGCTTGAATTTATTTATTTTTTTATGAAATATTGGTTGAACAGGAGTCCTTTTTATTTTAGATTTATAAAAAAAGCACAGTAACCATTATTTTTTAAAATTATTTTTATAGTTTCCTTTAATTTAGGGGGATATATTAATAGGTTATTATTTCCATTTCAGCCTTACTATTACATCTGTAGGACTTGTGCTTATACATTAGCATAAATGAAGATTATTAACTGTAACAAATGTTGGATTAGATTAGAATAATCATTGTTAATAAAGTGAACTTAAATGGTAACAGTTTACAATAAGGTTGTATTAGTTAATGCATTTAGTAAAAATGACAAACAAGGGCCAAAACGCAACCTTGATAAGTGGGCCGAAGGGAAATATAGCATGGGTAATATCCTAATTTATTAAAAATATTTAAAAGTAGTTAGAAAACTTTGCTTTACATTGAATAATACAGCATTTTTTTTATTATATAATGAACTTACAGTATTACACAAATTACAGTAAAACAAAAACAATCTCAGTTGTAACAGAGTGGAGTTACGCTAGTTTTTGCCTTCATTTGCTCTTCAATGTTTTTCTGAGTAACATTATTTACATTTTAAAAATCATATTTGTTACATTTAATTGAATTATTTTATTTGTAGCTCAGCAATAAAACAAACAAAAAAGGTTGCGTCAAGCTAGAACTGATAATCTCTTTTGTCGGCATTCGCCCCAACCACCTCCATAATTCTTACTCTCTTTTCAGATGGGATGGCTTGCCAAATCAAAGGTTACAATGGGCTAACTTTGGCCTGCGAGCCCTACTTTGGGTATCTCTGCTTTAAAAAAAAATGAAATATGTTTGTCTCTACGTTAGAGCTCAATATTAATAACATAAGCACTCACAAATCAGTTTATTAACATTTCGTGCACTTTTAAACTTGAAAAATTAAAGTTTGTTTTCTACTCAAAAAGATAGTCTTGAACATCAGACAGAGAAATCTTTATTGATAAAGGCGAGCAAGTACACATGGTAAATGAACAGCAGCAGTAATATTCTAGTAAGATCTGTCTCTATTCATATACATTTTTAAAAACAAAAGCCTTTATGTAAAATAATAATACACAAGTTAAGGTACAAGCTTAAGTAACAATCTTTATTTATTACAACAAAAACACCTTTGATGCTAATCTGACAGCCTCTTTAGATTTTGAAACCTCACAAAAATTGCATTAAAAATTCAGAAATTAACTTATTAGGGTTTCTGATGTGTGGATATGTGCTTGAGTGTCTTCTGCTCTTCTGGATTTGACGTCATAGACCACAATAATGACAGTAGCCATGCCCACCAGAGCAGAGAGGACCAATCGGATCACAGCTTCAGTAGGACCACAGCAATAGGCAGAGTCTGAGGAATAACAACATCAAACTGAGCTCAGATCAGTCTATATATATTGCTATTAGTTCTTATTAGCACTTCTATACCTTCAGACGTCTGACAGAGTGTGTTGATGTCCAGATGTGTGGTCTGGTTGCTGATGGGGTTGTTGATCACACAGCTGTAGGTGTTGTTATCCTGATATTCCACCTCCAGAGGTAGAGAGAGACTGATGCTGAGATCAGACACACTGATGCTGGACAATACACTGTTTCCTTTGTACCAGGAGAGACTCACAGCGCTCACATTCACCACTGAACACAACACTGAACAATTATACTGGGATGAAGATGAGTTTCTGATGAGGACAGGAACAGGCAGACGAGCTGGAAAAGATAAAAGAAATGATGTTAAATAAAATCTTACCTCAGTTTAGTGACTGAACAAACTCTCTAAATTAGAGTCTTATAATGGCAATTGTGACACTGCCACAAAAAGTTCAAGCAGATTTTTCATATCTGACAATATTCATTTATATTTGTGCATATTGTCTTAATGTTTTTTTTTTATTTAATTTTTAATTTTTATTTTTTTGCAGGGAAACCTATTTGATTTGAATGTGGGATTGATTAGGCTTTTGTTATGATAGCCAGCTCTGCACAGAAAGGGCATATGGGGGCCATTTGTAGAAGAGATACATTTCTGGCCAAAAGTGAACAGGATTATTTATATTACTTATTAAATTATCCATTATAATTGTGTTTTATTAACGTCCAACCCTGAGCCTGCCTCTCACAGTAACATTAAAAAACAAACAAGAACTGTTCTAATATTGATGTTATGTCTGAAGTAGATACAGGTGTTAAAGTGACAGTGGAAGGAAACAAATTAAATGAATTAATCACAAAAGAATAAAGTTCATTATAACAATATGTTTTTGGGTGTGTTGAGGTATAATGTTTATTTGTAGTTTTTTTGGGGGGAGTTGTGGTGAGGTAAAAATATGTTTTTTTGGTTGTGATGAACTAAAGATGTTTTTGGATGTTTTTTTAGGGGGTGTGGTAAGGTAAATGTTTTCTGGTTGTTTTTTTTTTTTTTTGGGGGGGGGGGGGGGGGTTGTGGTGAGGTAAAATGTTTTTTTTTTGGTTTTTGTGAGGTAAAATAATTTTGGGGTATTTTTGTTGGGGTGTGGTGAGGTAAAGAGGTTTTTTTGCTGGGCTTTTTGGGGTGTAGTGAGGTAGAAATGTTTTGTGGCTGTTTTTTGGGGTGTGGTTAGGTAAAAATTTGTTTTTTTGGTTGTGGTGAGGTAAAAAAGTTTTTTGGTTAGGTTTTTTTTGGGTGTGGTGAGGTAAAAAAAAATTGTTTTTTGGAGTGTGGTGAAAGAAAAATACGGTTTTGGTTGTTTTTGGGTTGTGGTGAGGTAAAAATATGTTTTTTTTTGGTTGTGATGAACTAAAGATGTTTTTTGGTTGTTTTTTTAGTGGGTTTGATAAGGTAAATGTTTTCTGGTTGTTTTTTGGGGGGTTGTGGTGAGGTAAAAATGTTTTTTATTTTTTTTTGGTTGTTTTTTGGGTTTTGGTGAGGTAAAAATATTTTTGGGTATTTTTGTTGGGTTGTGGTGAGGTAAAGATGTTTTTTGGCTGGGTTTTTGTTGGGGTGAGGTGAGGTAGAAATGTTTTGTGGCTGTTTTTTGGGGTGTGGTGAGGTAAAATAGTTTTTTGGGGGGGGGTGGCGAATGAAAAATATGTTTTTGGGTTGTGGTGAGATAAAAATATGTTTTTTGGGTGTGGTGAGGTGAAGATGTTTGTTTTTTTTAGTTGGGATTTTTTTGGGCGTGGTGAGGTAAAAATATGTTTTTCGGTTGTTGTTTTTTTTTTGGATGTGGTGAGGTAAACATGTTTTTGGGTTGTAGTGAGACCAAAATATAGTGTTTTCTTTTGGTAGTTTTTGGGGGGGTTGTGGGGTTTCACATTCCTACACACTAGGTGGCGATAAAACACCCACCATGAAACCGACATGGAAGAAGAAAAAGAAGATGATCATGATCATACAGGTGACTAACAAACACATGAATGCTCAACCTGAGTGAATTGTTTAACTACACGTGGCCTTTGTCTGCACAATCACTGGGATTACTTGGTTTTCAGGCCTGATTCCTGTGGAATATATGAGTTTCTGTTTGGGTTTAATTGGAAAATCTGCTCCTCTACTTTGGCAGAAGAAGAAACTTGGTGAGATTATTGTGTTACGACTTTTAACTTTTTGGTATCTAGGGTTTAAAAGGTAACATTTAAGGTGATAATATTTTGTGGTCAGTTGGCAAAATATCAACACGACAACCAAAATACTGCAAAAAGAAGTGAATTTATTTGCAATAGTGAAAGGAAGTCAAAAAGTAATAAAGTATTATTTACAAGATCTCACAACATAAATCAATCAATATAGATTAAAGATGGTGGGGGAAACGAGAGTTAAGTGGCGCCAAATAAATGAAAGAAATATAACAAAACAAATAAATATAAAAAATAGTTTTATGCTATATTTCCTTGGCTAATTGGAACTTGGTTTATTTTTATTTATGAATTGAGCTGACATATGACACACCTATTCGTAACTATATTTTTAGTATTTTTTTTCATGGTCAATTGTTTGAAAAATTAATCATGGCAGTGTTTGTTTTACTAATGGCTGAATGGATATTTGGTTGGCCAAGCAAGTGTTCAAAACACACAAAGAATAATGTCTTAATTGTTTTTTGCTAATGATGATAATGTAATATTTTGACAGCCACAAAGAAAGCCGATGTAAGATTGAAGTTAAGTTGTTTTTTTGTTTTTTTATTCACACATTTATTCAGTGACAACTTGTGACATGCTCTCTATATTGTTTACCATGGTACTTTGAAAATTTGGTCTGAAATCACATGCAAGTATAACAATATTAGCACTATTTGATTGACTGTGATCAATGTTATACTTTAATAGTAATTGGTTGCTAATATGATTACTGTATTTAGATTTAGCAAATAATACTTCTGTGAAATTTAAATGTTAAGTTTACCTCATTCTAACAATCCTAATTCTTTAGCTGTTTTTTCAATTGAGGTAAAAGTAAGCCATTTGACCAAAACAGTGTACTTGCACGTTATGAGGTTTTGGTCCAACTTTTTAATATTGCTTTGTAAAATTGAACCCAACCAAGAAGGATTTGTAGCATTGCAACAATCAACAAGTGTAAAGGACGATATGTTACATGCTATGTTAAGACTATAGTGATATTGTTGCAATAGAAATATATAATTCCTAGTCATAGAATGGAAAAAAAACGACTTAAACTAGCCTAAATTGGTTTTAGCTGGTTGACCAGCCTGGTTTTAGAGGGGTTTTGGCCATTTCCAGGCTGGTTTACAGCTATTTCCTGTCTGGTCTTAGCTGGCTGGAAATAGCTGGAAACCAGCCTGGAAATGGCCAAAACCCCTCTAAAACCAGGCTGGTCAACCAGCTAAAACCAACGTAGGCCAGTTTAAGCAGTTTTTTTTTCAGCAGGGTTACCAGCCTAGCCAGTTGCTACTTCCAGAATAAACCAACTAACAAACATTTAGGCCAAGTTGGTTTTAAATTCACACATTCGTTCAGTGACAACTTGTGACATGCTCCCTATATTGTTTACCATTGTACTTTTGAATTTTTGGTCTGAAATCACACACAAGTGAGGCTTTAAAACAACATTAGCTCTATTTAATTATGCTAAACAATGTTGTTCTTGGATAGCCATTGGCTGCTTTTATGATTTCACAATTTAGACTTAGCAAAGAATACTACTTTATTAAGGAGAACGTCCAAATGTGTGAATATGAACTTTACCTCAATCTAACAAAATTAGGCTGGTTTCAGCTGTTTTTCAACAGAGGTAAACATACACCATCTAACCATTGACAATGTACTTGCACGTTATGCATTTTTGGTCAAATTTTGATATCGTTGCAATAGAAATACATAATTCCTTGTCAGAGGATGTAAATGTTGTCTTCTCCCAATCACCTCAAACTCTCTAGAATATTTTAAACACCTGAAAGTGTTAATAAAATATCTTAATTTAAGTACAGGACAAATGATTTTTACTCACCATAGACCGAAACATTGAACTCTTTTGTTGTCCCTTTCACATCGAGAAAAATGAGTAGTTTATAGAGTCCAGCCTGCTCAGTTGTGATGTTTGTGATGGTCAGAGATCCGGTCTGATTGTCCAGCTTCAGTCTGTCTTTGAAACTCCACTCAGTGTTATACTTGTAAGCCACGGCAAGCTCTTCTGTTTCAGACCTCCATCTTATGTTATATCTGCTTATGTCAGTGAGACCAGAGTTTAAAATGACAGAATCTCCTTCTGTCACCAACACAGACTTCACCTTATCTGGAGCACAGACACGATTCGAAAGCATTTATACGAGTTTAAGGTTATGAAAGCAAACATTATTCATCTAAAAATGTAATGCCACTGGAACACAATTGTAACTCACTGTAGACAGTAAGGATAAAAGTGATCCTCATTGGTGGCATGGTTAGCATTTCATAATTTCCAACATCTTCAAAAGTGAAGTTTGTAATGGTCAGAGATCTGGTCTGATTGTCCACCTTCAGTCGGTTTCTGAATGTCCCGTTAAACACTTCATCATGTACAACGATGCTGTCGTTTATCCCATCCATTTCAGCAAGTAAATGTTTGCCAAACCACCAACGAATTTCAGTTTTGCCCTTCATTAGATCTTGAGTGGATGTTTCCCAGAGACGGGTTGTGGCTGGAAAGGCATCCGCTGCATCCGCTGCGTGAAAACTTGCTGGGTGGGTTGGCGGTTCATTCCGCTGTGGCGACCCCGGATTGATAAAGGGACTAAGCCGACAAGAAAATGAATGAAAGAGTTGGAGCTGGTTAGACCTAAGCTCTGCAAAGCTGTGTCTCTTCATGAATTGAGTTTGAGACTTTTTTTATATATAATGTAAAGCTTAAAAGGGAACCTATCATGCAAAAATCCCTTTTATAAGGGGTTTAAGCACAGTTGCATAGCAGCAGGGTGTAAATATAACCAGCTTCTAATGGTAAAAATTAAAGAATTC